TCCATTCAAGATGCAATCAATATTATTTAAATGTTTGTATGTGTTAACAAGGTTTACATATTAGAAGATAATTTAGAAATATTGTTAAGACATTCTAACCCAAACTTCCTAATATAGGGAATTTAGGAGAGTGAAACTGAACAAAATAATTTGTAATGTAACACAGAACACACAGCAGGACGTCTGCCCAGAGACAAATTATTTTATGCTACAATATCCAATTATGTACTTTCATGCATGCACACACCACATGCAGGACCCAAGTATTATCTCTCTCTCTGAACACACACACACACACACACACACACACACACACACCCACACACACACACACACACACACACACACACACACACACACACACACACACACACACACACGTGCAATTAAAGAGCCAACTCACTCAGCTATCAGTGGCACCTCGTCAGCACTTCTAGTATCTAGCTAGTTGTTTATTAACTAATAATAGGTACAGGCACATCTGTCTCAGTGACTTTATCACACTGTTCAAGGCCAGGGTCATATCAATGACTCCAGTGAAATGGGGCATTATATAAAACGTATCCAATATTATTTTGTAAAAATAATTATTGATTTTGTCTTGCCAACAGGAGAAGCAGAGGAGCACGTTCTTCTCCATCTTCTACCTGTCCATCAACGCTGGCAGTCTGCTGTCTACTGTCATCACCCCCATCCTCAGAGGTACATTAGTGGTGATTACAAAGCATAAAACACACCAATGAGTCATATGCTTCATAGTAAAATAAATGTGTGTGTGTGTTTCCAGCTCAGGAGTGTGGTATTAACACCAAGCAGTCGTGCTACCCTCTGGCCTTTGGAGTCCCTGCTGCTCTCATGGTGGTAGCTCTGGGTAAAATATATATATGTTTTTATGTCTTTATTGACTGTACCAAGCAGATCAATTGTACTTTTATTAGTAACCATTCATGAATTATTAATTAATCTTTAATAAACTAGTTTGATCCATTTCATAAGCCCTTTATTACCCTCTATAAAGTGTGTTTTAGTGGTATCATGAATACTTGTTGTGCATATAAGATAAGGTCAGGTAATGACATTCTTAGAGTCATGTCCTTTGCTTTTGATCATTTTTGTTGTTGTTTTTAGAGGTTAACATGTATATTTGGTGTGTCTGCAGTTGTGTTCATTCTTGGAAGTGGCATGTACATTAAGACCCCTCCTCAAGGCAACATCATGGTGAAGGTCTGCACATGCATCGGGGTAAGTGGCTTCCACAAAGTTTTCATCTTAGAAATATACGGTTTTAAATAGAACTTAAAACTTTCTGTAACAAAATGGTCTCCCATTGAGAGTAAGAATCCCACTGAATTGTCCTTCACTGCTCTCCGTAGTTTGCTATCAAGAACCGCTTTAGGCATCGTTCTTCTCAATACCCCAAGAGAGAACACTGGATGGACTGGTCTGATGAGAAATACGACGTAAGTGCAGTATGCATGCATACGTACACATTAAAACAAACAGTCAAATCAATACAACTTAAAAATGATAATCCTTCTCTGTGTTCGGCTGCAGAAACTCCTGATTGCCCAGGTGAAGATGGTGCTGAAGGTGCTGTTCCTCTACATCCCTCTTCCCATGTTCTGGGCTCTCTTTGACCAGCAGGTAACAATTGTATTCCTGACCAGTACTGTATGTTGTGTTTCTCAAACTTTTTCCAGCAAAGTACCACCTTTAAAATGTGTTTTTAACCCAAGTAATCCCTTAACAGCGCAAACGTAAATAAGAGCTGTGTCTCCTCCACAGGGCTCCAGATGGACCCTCCAGGCCACCATCATGGACGGAAACTTTGTACGTTTTATTTGTAAAAATGTTCCATGTCAAACCTTTTGAGCCAAACCACAGACAATGTTTTTTCTAACTGAGTTTATGTCTGTTTCCGTATTTTTCCTTAAACAGGGATTCCTCACAATCCAGCCCGATCAGATGCAGGTAAGACACTGGTGCTGACTACACTTTACATGTTGATGATGTTGACCTACAGTATAGGAGAGGTTAAAAGATCGATTTGCCTTCCTCCCCCCAGACTGTCAACCCTATCTTGATCCTGATCATGGTTCCAATCATGGACAGTGCCATCTACCCACTGATTGCCAAGTGCAAACTAAACTTCTCGTGAGTTTATTTCTCTGTTGTGTTCCTGTGTGAGGGAAACACTACTTTTAAACTCTAGCTTACATGTTATAAATAAATATAGACATCAACTCAAACGTGTGTGTGTCTGCAGCCCGTTGAAGAGGATGACTGTTGGGATGTTATTTGCTGCTCTTGCGTTCGTTGCTGCTGCCCTGGTTCAGTTACAGATTGATGTGAGTGTAACGCACAAGACAATTCAAACATGAATTACGTTACATCGCTCGATTCACACACATTTCCATTTCTCTTCTAGCAAACCATGCCTATATTCCCTTCAAGCACTGAAAGCCAAGTGAAGTACATCAACATGATGAGCACACCGCTGGACGTCAAAGCTGGAAACAACCATTTTACTTTGAAGCCTTTCACGGTATTCCACCTCACACTCCGGATCTAAATGGACTGAAAGCAAATAAGTCACCACACAACGAAGGCAAGAGGACATAGTGATATTGACTTATCTTTTTCCTACAGGCCAATGAGGATTACTTGACCTTTGGATCACCATTTACACTACTTCTTGGGCCAAATGCCAGCTACCCAATAGCTATCGAGGAGGGCAATCGCAGCACCTCGGTCATCGTCCAGGAAGGGACTCTACCCAAGCTTATAACAGTAAGCACCGCTGCCAGATTAAAGCGGTTAAAGTCCAGCTGAAATGAAATGCATTTGGACTGCTATAGCTATGGATGTGTTCTGATAGCATTTGATAGACTGTAAATCAATGTGTGTTATCCATTATGTCAAATATTACCTAAAAAATTGTATCTTTCTTTTTCCAGTTCTCAGACACCACCTCAAAGCCGGAGCAGGGCGCTAATGCTATCAGGTAGCTTTTAAACTATTAAAGTACTAGTAGGATGAATCAGTTTACTGTAGAAGACTCTAAGACTGTCTCACTAATTGTATTCTGAATTCTCCTTCCCCAGATTCTTCAATGGATTCAACATAGCTTTGAATATGACATGGGGTGACCAGAGCTTTGGGAACATCCCCACCAACAACATGTCAAAATATGTTTTGATACCACAGGGAGTGTAAGCCTGACTTCATTATAAACGTCACACACCCTCGCACAAGAGAAACGTCTTTGCACCACTGACTGCTGTTTCTCTTGTTATGTCAGTGCACAGTACCAGATCAAGAATGCATTGGGATCAGTGTGTGACTACAAACAGGAGCTGGGCTTCGGCAGCTCCTACACCATAGTGATCCCTCCAACTTTCAACTTTGAATCTACGGTAAATACATTTTTAGTCGTAAAAAAAGCTTGAATGTAACGTTTTTGATCTATTTAACACATCTTGGTGCCTCGCAGTGTGAACAGATCCTCATTCCAGTGGTGGACATCAAGCCTAACATCATCCACATGGCCTGGCAGATCCCTCAGTACTTCCTCATGACTGTAGGAGAGGTGGTGTTCTCCGTCACCGGCCTGGAGTTCTCCTACTCACAGGTAGAGGGGGCTTTCCTCACATATCTGACAAATATTAAAACCAGAATTGGATGAAAAATTACCTAAATTAGTCTTGACGTCCTTGCTATAATAAATAGTTATTTTTTTAATCTCCCTTTGCTCTGCAGGCACCCAGCAACATGAAGTCTGTGCTGCAGGCTGGTTGGCTGCTGACTGTTGCCGTAGGTAACATCGTTGTGCTCATTATCGCAGAGGCTGCAACGCTCGAAGATCAGGTGGGTGGATTTTATATAAACTATTAGGAGACACACTCTGTCCTCAGTGACCGTTTCAAACTGGCTGTAGATGGTTTTGAGAGAACATCTTGACACAGACAAGTAAAGGTAGAAGAGAAGACCTACATTCACTAATGCAAGAGTAAAAGTAAACAAGTAAAAGCATAATAATGTACTTAAGTATTGCAAGTAAAAGTACTAATTTTGCGAGACAACCATTTCAGAAATAGTTATTTAATTAAAGTATGAATTTATTCGTGTGTTCATCACTTTAATGTTGCATCTGCTAAAGGACGTCTATTAAAAAGGCATTATATCCTAAGTTGATCTCCAAATGAACTGTGTTTCTGTCACTAGTGGGCCGAGTACATCCTCTTCGCTTCCCTGCTGGTGTTAGTGTGCTTCATCTTTGCCTTCATGGCCTATTTCTACACCTACATTGACCCGGCCAAGATAGAAGCGGAGTTTGCCCATAAGGAGCCTGAGGAGAAGAAGAGGAAGAGTGTGGAGATGAGCAGGAAGAGCTCTCACTCCTGCTCTGAGAAGGATGAGGAGACCCTCCAGACCAAGATATAAAGCCATGCTTCTCTGCTGCTTGGTTCTGTTGCATGGACATGTAGTGGTAAGAATGAATAGATAAGGTGAACGAAGAACACAGACAAAGAGCTTCGATATTAAGCTCTTGGTACACCGTGTTAGTGAAGGTTATTGGCAAAGATAAATCTCATTTTATTTTGGCTCAAAATGTTCTTTAGGTTCCTCATTCAATTAAAACCCCTTTATTCTTATTGGTTGGTAATTTTGGCTTCTTCGTTGTTGTAAATGAGTTTTTACAATGATTTATTTTGCACTATGTAGCAACATTTTTATGTAATTATTGTTCATAGGCTTTTTTTTAATGTAGGACAAACAAATAAACCATTCCAACATTCGTATTTATTTCCAAACACATTGTGTTTTATAATATATCGTCACTGTTTTATATATCTATGATGTTCTAATATGCTAAAGGTTAAATCAAACAGTTATATTCCAAATTGGATCTCATTCAGGTTTCACCAAGATCTTCAATAAAGATAATAGCAATGTGTGTTAAATATTTTTTTTATGCAAACATTTTAAGAAAATTAGACTTTTTCAGTTAGCATTAGATCTTTATTTCTCATGTCACTTTGAAAGCTTACAAGGAGCTCACATTTAACTTGGGAATTCTCAAATGACACAAGCAAAGATTATACACAGTACTATAAACTGTCAGTTATGATAAAGGAGACCAAATGTACACATGTTGTAGTTATTTCCGTAGCATATGTTTTTCTGTAAGGTATAGATATTTTTTTGCCCATATCCGTAAAGCATTCCATATTTCCATACTTGAATCTGCAGTTATAAAAATATCAGATAATTTCTTTCAATCCCTGTGTTGACAAGTGCGCCTTGATGCAACTCCTCAACATTATTGCTGCATTAGCACAGTAGTAACTTCTGGAACTCTTAAGTAAACATATATAGTAAAACATGGCTATTAGCAACTTCTTTATTTTTTCCTCCTCTTTGCAGGCTTCTTTAAATACTCGACACACTTTCAAAGTGCAAAAACTGATCTGACAAAAATAAAACAAAGGTGCAAATCATACTACAAAGGACATGGCACTTCTAGCATGGTGTGGAAGTGAGAACAGAAATAAAAAAACGAAATAAGGATGGCGCTTTTGGCTGTTTTACGCTTTAGTTTGGCAATGAGCGGATGTCATGATGTGCCTGCGATGGTCGTCTTCCACTTTAAGAAAATGACAAGGACCAATAATACTTCAGTTGATCAGCATTCAACTGCCAATGATGGTTCCCCTCGAGTCCCCTTAATACTTTTGACAGAGATCTGACTCCATTCTTGTCTTAAACAATCCAAACCGACTTAGACCTAAACATAATTACAAAGAAAAAGCTTCTGCCTCTAAACAAAAAAAAGCTTAGTATCGTAGTTAGTTTGATGATTCAGCAGGTGATTGAAATGTAAGATTGGACCTCTTAGAAAGAGAACGCTGATTAATACTGAACGGAAAATCTGTGATGAAATGCCGGAACGTAGACGTGTGCATCTCAAAAAGGCAAGGCATTTTCTGTTCCTTCTGTTGGAGTAACGATTGAAATCTTTAAATATCTACTTTTTTTAAAACATAATCAGTATCTACAAAATGCGCGTGACCATTTTGCACACAGTGATTCATTTCCCGCATGTACAGCATGGCGACTCCCCCCTACCCCCCCTTTCCTCCAAAAGTCCACTTAAAGCACTTTACCTGAGGTTTCATTAAGAATGCTGCAATTTGCCTTATAACAGGGAGTCTTACATACACAAACACGCTCACACGTATGCATTTAGGCACGCACACACGCAGCTTGCACACTTATAGTATCCCTGCAGGTTCATCAAGCATGCTTTCAGAGGTTCTGGGGATATGACGCCTGCATTAGAAGGGGGATTGAAGTCTTGTCTTGGATTTTTGGGGAGATTTTCGGCTCCTCGTCGAAGCAAATTCCGTGTAGACTCAGAAGTCTCCCATATACAGAGTCCCGGTTGGCTGTGTTTCTGGTGGTTACTCTGTCTTTGTCCCATCACAGCTGATTCCACGGGTTCTGCTGCCCCCCTGAGCTTCTCCTCCCGTAAGTGTCTCTCCAGAGTTCTCCTCCGCTTTGGAGTTCAGTAATGTTTACAGGCCCCCGCTCACAGAGGTCAAATGTAGTCAGCTGATATTGAATGACCTGACCTCTGACTTTTAACCTTCTGACCCGGCTGTGGAGTTGGTGGGGGGGGTGGGGGCCTGGGAGAGCAGGGTTAGGGCAGACAGCCAGTTACTAAGGGGAGGACGAGGATGTCCTGCTTGTTGAGAAACTGCAAGGAAAAGAAAACAAGAACGGTTGATTATTTATCTATTCATCTACATTGAAAACTAAAAAATAATCTGGATTACATGATCAGGATTCCAATGAGCCCTTGAAGGGGTTATGGGTGGGAAACAGATGGATGCAAAATATATATACCAAGAAACATTTGCAAAAAACTTTTAGATTCCACCCAAAAACATTTGCATTTTTCAAAGGAACTCTTCGTCCTCCCATGACAGCTCTAAAGACCGACCTTCAGTAAGCGGCTCTAGCAAATCAAATTCAGCCAACGCACCACTAAAGTCAGGATTAGGCAGTAAGAACATATTTCCGTCCCATCTACCCTTAGGGGCTCTGTAGGATTCTGCTTTCTGCAAAACAGGGAGCTGAATATTACCTCTGGAGCCTGTGGACCATGTGATCCACCAGAGAATCAGCGATGCCGGGGAAGGACTCCTCCGCCTGCATGATGGCCTCCCTCAGTTCGTCCAGCACCATGGGGTTCCCGTTCACCTGCTCCTGCCTCGCCTTCAGCTGGGGGAGGAGGCAGAGGTGGGGTTAGATTGATAAGAGCAGGGAACAATCTGTATAATTCTGATCGGAGCCACGTTCACGCACAAGAAGTGATGGCACACAATTGTTACATTTAGTCAGGAGTGTGACGGAGGCTAATTTGTCTATTGGTTATCCTCCTTACCTCGGCTAATGCAGGAGAGATGACTGTGGCCAGGCTCTGTGAATAAGGCCTCTTTGGAATGTCGTTTGACTGTGAAAAGAGAGAGGCGAGAACGTGGGGGGAGGAAATTAAAGTAGTGCAATTTCACCTTAGGGGGTTTTAATCAGCTAAATAACATCACACCATGCTATCATTGGTTCTTGTGAAAGTGTTGCTGTGGTGTTAAGATAATCTGATTGGTTATGGTGCTATTTTTAGAGGCGTCTCACCTGTTCTGTCGCCCCCGACTGCCCCTCCCCATTCTGCAGCTTCTTGGGGTCCTTCTCTCGGATGGTGAAGATCCAATCGTCGCTGCCGAAGTCGTTCCCGCCCGACGCCTGGCCATCCTGCTCCCTGATTGGACAGGTATTAAAGAGGATTTAAATGGAGATGAGGGATGAAGTCATGCATGTAAAGTGTTTACAGCCCATTATAACAAACGTGGGAGGAGAGCAGCAGGGAGGATGGTTCACTTTTTAGATTTGGTGTCAGACTTACGAGTCAGAATCAGAACTGGACTCTGTGGTTCTTAACTGCTCTGCCTTCCACCTCTTGTACTTGTCCACCAGCTCCGTCAGGTAGGACGTCTTCTTGGCGTGGCGGACGATCAGCTTATGCTTCAGCAGCTCTTTGGCAGTCGGCCTCTGAGGAAAAAGAGAGAAGCGGGTGAGATGGTGCAACCTCTACGAAGACAAAAAACAGAAAGAACAGAACAGAACTCACAAAACTGGGCTCTTTGTTCAGACAGGCCTCCACAAACTCCTTGAGCGGTTTGCTGTAGTTGCCCTCCAGCGTGGGGGGGTTGTTCTTTGGGATGAGGAATAGAACCTTCATGGGGTGCAGCTCTGAGTGGGGGGGCTCACCTTTGGCTAGCTCGATGGCTGTGATGCCCAGAGACCAGATGTCAGCCTGCAATGCATGGAGAGACACGTTTAAAACGTATATAAAATACATTATTATATGGTCTATATTGCTTTTTAATTATTTTGACGACAGAAACAAGAAGCTTGAATTAAAAACATTTGGTACAGCCCATTGTCAGAAGGGACCGTTTGTGGACGGGGTGTCAACATGACTCATCGCTTTTGACCTTACCTTGGAGTCGTAGGCCGACTGTTTGATGACCTCGGGGGCCATCCAGAAGGGCGTGCCCACGAAGGTGTTGCGCTTGATCTGCGTGTCGGTGAGCTGCCCCGCCACTCCGAAATCTGCCAGCTTCACCTCCCCCTGCTCGGACAGCAGCACGTTCGCGGCTGTTTGTGTGTGGGGGGGGGAGAAGAGGGAAGATTGGTGATGCAATTCAGAGGAAACACATCTCCTGTCAACACCATTTATTTACTGAAGAGGGAACTAATGTCAAAAGCCTTTTAGCCCGCCGCTGCAGAGTTTCTCTCAACTCCCCGGGGAAAAACAAACTGTATAATGAAAGGGACGTCAATACCATTAACGTGCTACGTGATATCTGTGTGTGCTCGTTTAGTGGGCTGAAATAGCAGCACTTTACCTTTGATATCCCTGTGGATCTTCTTCTCGGAGTGAAGGTACTCCAGGCCCTTGAGGATCTCTCTGAGGATGGTGGCGATCTGCGTCTCGTCCAGAGCTCCGGGCTCCATCTTTAGAGGAGACACGCACAGACACCATTAGGTGAGCCTCAGGGTGGATGAGTGTTAACCCTACATGCTGGCAGTTGCTCTCCTTTTTTAATTCACATTTCAAGAACTTTATATAGGTTTTCGGATGTCTGCAGTCATATTTTATGTTAAACGTTCAGCATCTGACATCCCCCCCCAAAAATAAACAAATCACACAATAATTCAGGAAAGAGGAAAAGCATTTTGCACAATGTTTTATAGTAAAGGCACCGCATTTTGTGCTTCTGCTAACGTCAGAGGAAATGATTACTTTTATGAATGTAATAGGCCTTTCAAGCTTCAGAGAAACCGAGCAGAAGTGCTACATCACATAGACAACGCCAAGTGTTAATAATGAGTAAAGAGAATCATTAAATAATCAAGTTAGATGACTGGCTGATCAATCACATGGAAACAGGAAACACTTACCAAATCTAACGCCGAGCCACCGCCTAAATACTCCATAATGATCCATAACTTTGTGTCCTGGAGAGGAGACAGAAATAAAAAGAGTGAGCTGCCATTTGTGGAGACATATTCACAGCTTATGAAGGCGGTTACTTATTGTGAAGTGTTAAGAGCCAGGTGCATTTCTAAACAAGTCATTAAAACAGTTATAAGAGCGGGTGGGTGTTTGAAGTCGTACGAGGCTAATCCTTTTTTAATTTAGGATGAGTCAGGGAAAAAGTGGGCAGAGGGAGAGAAATGTGTCTCATGGCATCTGCTCACTTGGAGGTTTGACTTGGAAACGGATGCAGAAATCGTAACGCATACTGTAACAAGCATCACCTTCAGGTATGAGCCGTAGTACTTGGTGACGAAGGGGCTGTCGCACTGACTCAGCACCGTGATCTCCTGCTGGATGTCTTCGATCTCGTCCTCCGCCTCCTCCAGGTCAATGTTCTTGATGGCCACCACTTTCTGCGTGCGATTGTCGATGCCTTTGAACACCTCGCCAAAGGAACCCTTGCCAATGCGCTCCAGCTTCGTGAACAGCTCCTCCGGGTCAGCTTTGGAATTCTGGTTGAGGAAAGGAAAGGCGGATAAAGATAAAAAAGAAAGGAATGTTTGAAAAGGACGGTTTAAAGGAAGCAATACTAATAAAGGAAACAGGAGCAGGGTGCCAGTCTTACAAGGATACATTAATTCACTCATTGTAACACCTTATGTTTGTGTACACAGGAAGAAATACAGGAGAATAAAAGGAAAAGTGTACCAATTAGATACCATAACCTTTATACATATTGACCTGGTTAAGGTTTATTTCTCCGATCATTAACAAACTAACATCTGAATAACACGGAGAGTATACTAATGTACTGGTTTATTTAACTAAACATGATTATATAGGTTCTGATATAATACATTCGTTTTGAAAATGTAAGCATGTGGCCTTATTTTGCTCATAAGACTGCTGAAGATGGTGACATCATATTACTGTTACAGCCAAAATGACTGTAGGCACATTGAGACATAATTATAACTCCTCTTGAGGTCATACGGACACAAATCAAATCCTGTTATATGAATTATAAGTGTATTAGAGTGGCCAGACCCAAAAAAGGCTTAGATGGACCTTTGAAGTGTTTATTAGTCAGGGTAAAAGCTAAAAATGTGTTCAATGACAATTCCAACTTTCCTGGGGAGCGTGGACTAAAAAAAAAAGCCTACTTGAACACAGCAGGAAGTGAACTCAGATTACTTAACTCTCCAGAGGCAGTTATTTGGGAAGCGCAGGAGCAGGCGCTGACAAAAACAACTTCCTTTTGTACGGCCTCTTCTGAGCGGAGAAAGGGTCAATGTGCTCTTTTGAGATAGCTAAAAATGAAACAGCTGCCTTCCACAAGAGGAATCCTTATGTCACTAATGAAGATCATGCTGGCGTTATGAAAGAGATGTATTCAATAAACTAAACAGTGATTCTGCTAATGGAAAGTGTGGTAAAGATGATGAATCATATTTTATTAAAACAATAACATGCTTGTTAGGGAACAGGATAGGGCTGCACAATATTGCAACTACGATAGATCAGGAATTTGTCATTTTTGCATCATTCTTCTCACCTATTATATATGATATATGTCTGAATTTTTAAGACAATGTGTACCAATCTTATATAGTTTAAGTCTGTAGAATGTGATTTGTAGGCTGGGATAGCTCTGCAGGTCCACAATACTTCATTCAAAATGTATTGTTTAACACATATATATAAACTTAAAAAGGTGTGCTTCCTGCCATCGAGTATTGCAAGTCCATATTGTGATAAGTATACAATTCTGATTAATTTTGCAGCCCTATAAAATGGCTTTTAAATGGAATGAGAGCTTTAAGTCACAATCTGATTTTTACTGCCAGATGTACAACTGACGCTCATGGATTCAAACCCTGATAATATACTGATTGCCTTTTTCTGCATCTTAAAAACAATCCATAACAATCTTCCCCTGACTGGCCGAAAAGCAATGTTCTAAACAGACTCTTCATTAGTGCCAAAAACCCAGCAGTGTGTCTGCCTCGGATGCATCCTCCCCCAGATTCTGAGTCGGCATGCATTTCCTTCCAAAAGCAGAGAAATCTGCTAACACGCCTGCACAGGGAATATAATCTGGTGCATGAGGCACATTAGGAACAGTTATCTCCTCTAGTTATCTACCCAACACAATTATCCCCTATAGGCAACATCCTAAAGATAGCAGCAGAGGCAAGAACAGGGCTCATGTGTGCATAATAGTTTCTTTGTACAAAGACCCAGGGGGATCTGTCGTTTTCAAGTCAAGGCTGAAATATGGGAATTAAGCGTTTAATGCGTATCGTTCTGAGGCAAAAAAAAATAGACAATAACAATGACGACATTGCAGAGATGTAAATAATCGTTCTGCAAAGCAAACGTCCAAGACACATTTTAGTTTATATGATGGACCTATGTTTAGGTTGTTATTTTATACATTTTAGCATTAATTACAAGGCTGTCATGAATTTCCTCTATTCCATTCCTATTGCATCATTAATAAATAAAAGCTTGGTGCATCATAATTGACTTGGGTCTACTTTTATCTTTACTTGTTTAATTAAATACTATAAATGTATATATAAATGCACGATTTTTCTACCTAGAAAATATGTTCTGGTGTATATATGTTTTGTTTTTACATTTTTAAATCATATGTGAGGGAAAGGCCTTGTTTAAAGATAAATGTAATATTTTAATAACATTAGCTTTAAAAGAGGACTGTAAATGTGTATCAACCATAGACTGTATATATAAAGGTATCAACCTATGCACATATGTTTAGTTCAAGGAGCTTTCAGTGGGTGGTTGTTTTGTGTGATCACTGACACGCCTCCATCACAGCTGTGGACTAGCATGTAATCATTACGCGTATATAAGCAGTGTGTCACTGTTTGATAGGGTTGATATGTCCTGAAAAATGTCATGGTAACCAAAACATCTACTCTAAAGAAGAAAAAAACAATAATTGAAAAGTATGTGCGGAAGTTGACTGTTTTATTCAAAATTGCAACATTATCTCGAAACGTTCCGACCTCGAGAGTGACATTTACGAGGTGTACCTGAGATGGGCACAGTCGCACAGTTTAATGGGTGTGCATTGCTCAAACACACAGCAGGGAGTCGGTGTACATTTTGTTCTGCCAGTGACCTTAACTTCTTAATGCGGAGTTAACTCAAACATCTTACCTGCATCCCCGGCAGGTTCCCCTGGACTGGAGAGTGGGCCATGGTGATGCTGCCTCGTCCGCAGGGCAGAGAGCTCCTCCTCGGCTCACTTGTGTTTACAGTCCTGGCTCTGGTACCGTTCACGTTAGCACTCCTCCAGGACACCTTGTCAAACAGGCCGACTGAGAGCAGCTCAGGTACTTAAATATATAAAGAAAAATGTCCCTCCACACACGCTGGGGTACCTTTCCTGTGTCGTAATAACCCAAATCATCCAAAACAGCTGAGCAAGCTAACAGACGTTTGCTAATGCTAAAGCTGAAGCTGCAATCCAGAAATCCGCAATGTTAGTTTGCTAACCTGCTGGGTATGCGTTCATTTAGTTTCCCACCCAGGGAAGGTAATGCCACTATAATAAATTTGAATTTTTCGGAAACGAACAAGTAGAAACTACTATATATTTCCAAATAAGGTAACTGACACTTTCTAAAAGCGTTTTCTCTCGCTAACGGTGTTGTCAGCTAGCTAACATGGTTAGCCCGCTAGCTAGCTAGCGAACGCAGACAAACTGACAAACGTTCCGTCCGCGAGCAGGCTCTGAGCGCGATGTGTCCGCATACCGCAGCTGACACCCACAGGACGGAGGCTTGAATGAAGCGATGTGCCTGCTTTAATCTCTGCACTAACTTGTAGATCTACAGGTCTGGCATCTGCGGCAAGGGTAGCTGCCTGTGTTTTTGTTTCCTCCCTCACTTTCGTCCCGTACTCTCGGCCATCTTGTCGGTGCTGTGACGCCTGGCTGGGCGGATCCGGATCCGGATCGACAATATCCTGACGCCTCTCTCCCTGGTGCTGATGCCAGATGGATGGACCCAAAAAGTTTCGTGTCAGTTATTTAAAGAGACCCATTAATAACACGCTTTGTCATGGCAGTGTACCTCAGCATCCCCCCTGAGAAAACTCCAGTTGGTTACTCATCATTTGGTCCTGAGGTCCTAAGCCAATCATATTAGGCTAATTAATAAGGAATGCTTAATATGAATTAAGAACTACTTGTTAAAAACATATTTCTAACGGACCCCTTGAAAGCCTGTCAGGGACATGTGCCACATCTTTTTGAATCACTGCCAAAATCCACTTTTCCTGCCTTGAAAATGTAACTTTATTACAAAAACATCTTACATCACAGTATTTTGTAATACTGAAATTGATGTGATAGCACTGTCAAACAAAATTGACATGATACAATTGCATTGTGAGTAAATCAACCAATGCAATTAGCAATGCAGCAGTGCTTATTGATTGTTATTGACGCTTCGTGTGTTCCACCACCGGGGAGCGCTACTGTATAAAGCTCCCTGCAGCAGCAACTCTTATGTGATGTTAATGCTGCTGCCCGTGCATCATTGTGTGCTGCAGCTACACATAATAACGCGATGGCTAATGCATTACTGCTGCCGGTGCTTCTGTTGTTTGAATGATATATGATACACTATCATATAATATGTATATATAGCCTATCAGAAGCGGGTTCAGATCATAATTATGCCTCGTGCTGTTCTAACAAAGGGCCTGTGTTGCGCAGGCTGAGACAAAATCCACATGGGTAACAAAGCCTACATGAAGAAGGCATTGCATCATGATTGTTATTGCCTTCGAAATATTCATGATCAAATATATCCCATAGAAATGTTTAGATTATGATGAGATTGAGTGATAGGTGCCCGTCTTGACTCTGTTACAAGATATTTGGAATGTGAAGACTAGATATCAACATATGCATGTTTGTGTGGATATATCCCCACATTTAAGGAGGAATAGTCCTCACAGATGATCCCTGAATAAAGGTATTCGCACAGCTTCTCACTTGTGCGCCTCATCTCCGCGTCCTGGCTTGAACGCGTGTAATAGGAAGCACTGCCTCCCTCCTTCATGCGTAAATTATGTAGGGCAGGACGGGAATGCTGCTACCTCCATTTGAGAAAACCCGGCCGGTGAATGTGAGGGGGGGAAACACCAAAAGACGAATTCAAGCAGCGTTTCGACTGAGCATCACGACCTGCCTCTTGTGAAGCAAAGGAGAGGAAAATATGGACATCACGGACCAAGGAGCTCAAATGGAGCCGCTCTTACCCACGGTAAGACACGTTATTGTTTATGTTCATTTACATATTTGAATATACAACAAAGCTGAATGGACTGCTGTGTTCTTTCTCTTTAGAATAAATCAGACACTGTTAGGATCATGCTACCTTTTAATTTATGATTCATATTCAATACTTCTGTGCTAAAAAATGACCCGTATTTTGAGTGGTGTCGCCTGGATATCGTGACAAATATGGATGCTGCGCATTACACATTTGACAAATAGACAGAATTGATATTTTCACCGTGTACAATTCATATTGGGCAAATATATCACTACAAACCCCTAGACCTTCAAAGAAAAGGCATTACAGGTTGATACTATAAAGCAGCTACAGTTATGCATGTGTACCCTAATGCCTGCATGGAAAGGCTCCTTTAATATATAAATATACCATGAAATGGACCCAGTTTCTATTCTGTTAAAGAACCTGCTATCAAGCTGTTGCTTTATGTTCTGCAGGTCTTTGATGTTACACTAAGAGAGGAGTGTTGGATGAAAAAAAGGGAGATCTTTTCCTCATCAGTTGCATGTAAAATGTTCCATATTTCATTTTAGGGCTTCACTGGATTACTACGATGTATTCGTAACCTATTTGCAGGCATTATGAGAGCAAAACTCAAATTCATAAAAGTAGTTATTTCACATGTATTCCTTATTTCTCCTGTAACCATAACCATCCATCCACCTAGTTGCTACTCAAGCACCCCCCACATGTTGGTGGAGTAAAGCAGGGAACAAAGAGGTTGAATGTGTGCATGCAGTTCCAGCATGCCTCACATATAGAGCCACTGGAAGGCAGAGCCTACATCCGCGGTCAGCCTCACCTCATTAGCATTCAGGTGAGGCTGTGCTGTGGTGGAGGAAAATACCAAAGAGAGATGAAATATATCTCTTTTTGATCACAATGTTTTAAGCAGCGTTTGCTCTAGGGGCAAATCAATACTCTGCCTGTTGGTTCTATTTGTAACCGTGATATGAGGACTGACGGGGGCTGATGTGTTTGATGGGGGGGCTCTTCTGTTTCCCCTGCAGTCTTGATGCAGTGTGATTGCCTCACTGTAGTTGTAACTCATTGCTGCTTTCCCTGTCCCTGTGCCTACGCAGCAAGCGGATGCGTTGTCATGGTTTCACTGGGATGTGTATGGATATGTGAGGTTTTAAGTTGAGGGACACGGTTAGAAAAACTATGATATTGGCATTCTAACAGGTTCCCAAGGTCAACCATGAGAGTTGATTCACAGCAGGAAAGACTGTTGTGAATGCTTCACTGCTCATGACATATTTGATTTACTACATGAGGGTCTTGCATGGCAGTAATTTATTTACATGCCCTTGTTTTGTCATTTGGACTTATATCTCCATGTCCTTTGACTTGCAGGAACCAAGTTCCCAAGGAAGTACAGATGTGGTGAGTACATCTCTCATTCTCTTCATATGGAATGACAAACATGACATTGATTTGCTCAGTAATAAGAGTGATAACTCAATTCAATACTTGTTAAAGACTAGGTTGTGATACACTCAGAAAATCAATAGATTAACAAAATAATTGGGACATATAAAGGGCAAGGCAAGAATAAAAGCAAGTCAGGTCCCAAAGAATGAGCAAGCCTGAAAAGAGTTTTTAAAAGTCCAGTGGGGAAATAGAGCCAGGATAACAGACTTACAAGGTGACACAATTACAAGTTGAGATTTCACAACTATAATATATAGGATGATGGATGGGAAGGACATGGACACAATGACCAATCAGAGCGGACCTGGCTGTTCCAGATCGGGGGTTAAAGAGTCAGGCGCTGAAACAGAGCCTTTCGGGCAGAGGGTGAACACAGGCAAGCATGTAAACACATTCTATTGAAAACCCAATATATACTTGAAAATAAGCATGATATGTCTTCTTTAAAGTAACTGACTTACACTACCTAACCAAAGCCTGTATAAGGCAGGTAAACCTAGCTCAGTCCCAAGCATTAATAAGATATAAGCATAATGAGTAGTTTTAATATTAAATTGGGTAGGAATTTGAATGCAGGAATGAACCTTGTAATGGAGTATGTTTACTTACTGGCTGTAATATGATCACACTTTGCTGTTAATCCATGTTTCCTATCATCTATAATCTACAGTAATATTGCACAGCTGTGTCTGCTTTATATTTGTCATTAGCCTTCTTGTTTAGCAGATGTTGTGTATTTTTAGATCACAATTGTCACACATGTCACTATGCATCTGGCAGCCACGCAAGGCTGAGGACACGCTGGGTAAATAAACAACAACAGAGCGCAATTCCTTTTAAGAGCTCACAGGAAATGAGTGTAAGCAGATAATTGAGCCAGTCAAGGTGAAGAGCTTGATCCATGCATGTCATTTGTTCTGACTGAATATTGTTTATGCAACTGAGGGCTGTGAGCCAAACTGAGGACAAGAGTGGGCACAAAGTATCTGCCTGTGGATAGACTGTGGATCCTCCAGTTACCACTTTATCTTTCCTTTCTAGTACTTTTAATTTGCTACATTTTTGCGACTATGCATTTATATTTGCCACATGTTGTTGAATCACTACGAATCTACTTGATAACAGGATTTCAAAATATCACGCTTGAATACATCTGAACACAAACTCTATTCTTTGATATCAAAGGAACAGACTTTTCAAGCTTTTATTTGATTAATCTCCTAGCTTCATAATGTGTTTATAGTGGTGGAATTTGCAATGTTTAGTACATTTAAACTCTATTAAGAACAATAATGTTTTGAAGGACACAAAGCTGCTTATTGACAAATCCATATTTCTGTGAGGGAAGTATTACAGAAACCAATTATTTTATTAATCCAAGTCTAAACTATATTGTTTTCTATCAGGATCATGCTTGTTGTTGTAATAGTTGTTTTGGCCAAAAGAGGCTGAAGTGTACTTCTAACTAATGTTGTAAACTCACAATACAATTCTTTACGATGTTGTACCTGGTTGGACTTATAGCGGAACTGAAGCTTGGTGATTGCAACCTTGTTCGAAATCGTGTCAACAACTTTTTTAATTGGTTGCACCTAAAGCATTCATAGGATCTGGAGCCCTGCTTCTTGACCTGAGTGGTCCTGGTTCTGGATTGGGTTTAGACTTGAGTGTTGTGGTCCTAATTACAGCCCTGATGTAACCTCAGTGTCTCTGCCAGGAGGTCCAGTTAGGGGCTGGTTGATTGGCCGGGTTGGAGAAGATCCTTTAGAACAGATGGAGGAAATGTGCTGGATTTGCCCGTTCTGCTCTTTTGAGCTTGGTGTTCTTGGATTAGTGATCTAACTGTGCAAAACTGGCAGGGAGGAAGCCTCCAGTCCCCACCGCAGATAGGAGCCTTGACCGGCTGTGCTCCTTTCCACGGTTAATTATAGCAGAGTCAGCGGGGAGGAGGGCGAGGAAGGCATGGAGCTAGGTAGAGGCAGAGAGTAGCTGGGTGCGGAACATAAGAGACAGATGCTAAAATGAGGAGGGAGGCAGATCACATTGTGTATATAGTGTTATTTCTCTGAACATCTTCCGCGCGTCTTCTTTGCTTCTGAAAAGAAATATCCGATGACACAGAGACAGCAGTAACAGGATTTGACAGTGGTGTCAGGCGGTGCAGCAGAAATAGTTGCTTGTTCCTCCGGATCGGTTTCTAGAACACCATGCCTTGATCACATTTTCGCTGACAATGCACTGCAGCCAGAGAGCAGCCTCTTTGCCTCAGGTAGGTTGTGCACACACACACATTAGGATGCACACACTGTATACAGTTAGCCTGCAACGCCAACTCTACTTACCTCTTTTTCTACGTGAGGTGTGCAGTGACCATGGCACATGTAGATGTGAGGTGTCCTTTGGGCTGTGGGGAGCCCCTCGTACAGGATGCTGCTGTTTGACTCACTGCGACCTAAGACTTAGGTAACAGAGCTACAGAGCTTGAAGGCTCAGCAGAGCAGAACAGCATCGGTGATGTCAGAGCACTAATCTCTCTGGGGGGATTGGCGGATGGACGCTTGTCAGAAACATTTGATGCTACCCTGGATGAAAGCTGTTAGAGAGAAAGAGACAGAGGCAGAGCTGTGCTGAGCTCCCTGCTTTTGTTTTCACGTTGTGTTCGTGGGGCTTTCGAAGGTTGCTGCCGTTTTCCAACATGGGAAGAGAGGCTAAGGAGAGCATCTGAGGAGAGGAGAGGGTTCGACTGACAGACTATCTGTGTCTGCTGTTCTCTCTGACTTTCATACACATTAAAAACACACACTCTGAGTCCACAGTGGGGCTCGGGCCCTGTGCCTTAGCCTCTTGTCTTTCCATTGCCGCAAGCACAAGGGGAGTTAGCGGGCATCCTAACAGGAGTCACACCATGCTCTCAGTGGACCACAGTGCAGGATTTATTAATCAGGTAGGTTGCTTCATTTGATTTCAAAGGATTGCAGTTGTAAGTTTGTGAGCATTTCATTGACTTTGCTGTAGCTACTATTGGAATTGGCTGGCACCACTAATTGATGGTTGAGTTTGTCAACGTTCTTGTCAGATTCGGTTGCACTTTTGTTGTGATTTTGAGATGAATCAGTAGAAACTGGAAACAGAAAATGTTAGAAAAAGCTTGCTTGTGATCTTACTGTTTTACGATCTGCCTTATTTTAATACATGTATAGTTGAAAGGCTTGCCTTCTGCTGCAGAGAGGAGCAGTTGTGCAAAGGTCCGGGGAGGCTGGCTGACAGATGGGACTGTCATTGTGGGGCAAGCGAGGAGCTTATACACACTGCACTGACCCTGGTGATCTCTCAGGGAGATACAGACAATCAAAACCCAAATACATGCGATTTGGTTTGGGCATGTTATCACATCGTTTTTTTCTGGTCTTTGTCATTTTAAGACATTCAGGAAGTTTCTATTACCTGCTAGTTTACAACCCAAGTCCCCCCTTGCCTTTTTTGCAGAGTGGTAATCACACTTCATATCCTCCTTCTTTCTTTCTTTACCTGTGTCCGACACGGTTAAAGAGTGATGATGTAGATGTATTCAGAGTGCTTAGCATATTCTTCCCTGTGATGCTACCGATGCTGATCCCGCTGCCATTGCCAGGGTAACCATGGCCATCTGTAGGGAGGAAAACCATGACAACAAAAGCTGCCAGCCAATCGCAGGGCTTGTACAGCAGCTGATAATCCATCTTCCCTCTTAGCTAGCTACAAGCTATAGAATCACTCTAGCTCTTTGGACAAGTCCAATAAAGCAGATTTACAGTAGATAGATTTACTCAGTCTCATGGATTTCACATGAAACGCCAACTGCTTGGCTATTTTCTGTGTGCTCTGTGGAGACTGTTTGCTACATCTGATATGATGTATGAGTACACCAAACTCTGGCCCAATTTTTTACAGTATAGTAATGTAAGCATTCATCATCCCCGCTGTAGTGAAAGCCTCAGGAGAACGTAGAAATGAGGTCACATATCTGCTTCCCTGAGAGCGATGTGTTAATGTACACAGATCCTGGAGAGGAGCGTGTGAGAAAACATAGGTGATTTATATTGGCCAAGAAAATGGAACATAAGCTCTCAGAGAAATCTGATGTTGACACAAAGTGGAGATCACTCGATAGATAATATACACAGCGAGGCAAAAGTTATATCATTTCTGTCATAATGAAAATGGACCTGGACATGTAATTTACTAAAATCAGTTTTCCCCACACCATAATCTTTAGCTTATGCTGATGACATTATCAAAATGTTACACTGTGTGAGTTTATCTTTCGTGCTGCAATACACTTACGGAGTCTCACATCACAGTTTTATGTGCACAGACTTATTTCAAATCAAAGAATCAGATATTTTCTAACAGAGTTAATCATCTTTTGAATTTTCTTTGGATAGCTGTATATCCAATCCCAAGGTGTGCTCAAGACTGTGAGCCACGTAACAATATCTATGACCTCGGGTAGACCCTCACTTCCTTCTTTTATATTTCAAAACTCAACTGTTTATTGCAGGCTATCTTAAAATGATCTAACCCTCAAGGCTCAACTTGATGTCGTCAGGGTTGTTCCTCTAGACTTTAATCTTCCTTTAGAGCCACAAGACACATGCGAATGCCGTGATGGTCGTTAAGTAGCCTCCAACAATTCCTAAAATCATACCAACAACATCTATCAAAGTCAGCCCCCTGTTGATTGTCACTGCAGTAGCTCCGGGCTGTACTCTGCTATGACAAGCGGAATTACACTCGCTCATGTGAACCAACTATGACAGCGCTATCACTTTGGGATAGTGCTGTAAAAGGTGAAAGCCAGAGGTCAGACGGAAAGTGGAGCACATTGCAGAGGAGATTTAGGAATGTAATTGTGCGATGTGGGGAGGTGAGTGCTGTATTTAGGGCGTTGAGTTCAAGCACACATTTCAGGTCACTTTCATTGTTGGCTGGGTTTATTTTTGGACTCTATCAGTTAAAGTTACACAACAAGATATCAGGTATGGGATTACAGAAGTTTCTCATCTTTTGTTCAATGTCAGGTCAGGAACAATACATAAATATTGAGTATCTTGTTGTGCTTATCACCCAGTATGTGCAGGGAACACTGGTGTTATTTTTTGCTTTCCCACATTAGTTGGTTATTTTCATCAGTGGTCACCAGTTGTGTTTAAAGCCAGGGCGGTGGCTGCCTGTCGATCTGGAGGACACGCAGGCTTTGTTCAGGTCAATCACTCGATCCTCCTCAGGCGCTGTGTAACAATGTGAGGCATGCAACTCATTAGAAAGAGTGGTGGGAACACGGAGCACACGTGTAGCAGCCTGAGGAGTGAATCAGGTGTTGAGAGGTGGTGGATGAATGGTGAAGAAATACCTCCCGTGTATTGGATTTATCTGTCTAAGTGCAGATTGAATGAAGGGTCTTCTAGAACGGTGCTTTTAAGTGCAATTGGTACATCCTGCGTGGATCTATGACAAATAACCTGTGGGAAATCTCTGCAAGCTGGTTTGCAAATGTATTCGTTTTTCTAGTGAAATGCACTCAAGTCTTCTCAATCACGATTTATTAACAATTGTTTTATCTTTAAATATGACTTATTTAGCTCTAGTTTTTAAATACTTTAGATCCAATTTGTCAGGGTTTAAGTTTAAAGCAACAGGGTGCTATGTGTAAATAGTCATTGCGGTCTTAGTGAAGCTTCTAAAGCAAAACCACAGCAGAATTGTTTTATCTTATTTCAAAAGTTATCTTAAAAGCAGGCCTTAATATTACAAAATCCACTTATGAGATTCGACCCTGTGTTTCATGCAAAGGAAAAACCTAAATCAAACCAAGATCTACGCCGACTGTCCTGTATGTATTCTTCCCAGTGCAGGATATGACTCTGAAGCTCTGCTGCATACATCCACAGAGCAATGTGCATTGAATCAAAATCAGATGAAACTCAATGTCAAGGCTTTCAAGGTCATGATGCTCCATTTACCATCGCTGCACCAATGCTAGCACTGTGCACACATACAGTACATGAGCACAGACATGCGCTGTTAACTCAGTTTGACATTAGAACATCCTCCGGTCCTCGGTTTGTGAAGCCTTTTGCTCCTCTCCCCCACTGTGTAGCTCATCCATCCACACTGCTCCGTCCCGTCACACCACTGCGCATTGTGCATTGGCAGGCCTATGCATGTGTGTACAGTACATGTGCAAAGAATATGTATAATAATACAGAGAAATCAACAACCAGTCAAGGGAAAGGCTTACTATGAAAAATAATGTATGTTCACGTTATGTTAGTGTCTAATCATCATGCGGGTCACATGTCTATCCCTCCTCCACCTTTACCACCCTGACTCCCCTGGAGTCTTGGTCACGTGCTCTGTGCTCACGTTCCCCCGAAGCTGTCACCCACGACCAGAGAGCCAACGCAGAAATGTCTGATTTAATTCTCTCCACCACGCAGGAGCCTCCATCACTGATCACATGGTCGCAGACAAGGTTTTATCGTGGTGTAAACGCTGGCAGATTAATCTCAACCCAGATTGTTGTGCAGGGATGTTTCTCTGTGGGCTGGTCTGGGGTCAGCATCATGAGGTAGAAACCCGTCTATAAATAGTAGCAGCGACCTGCAGGCGGGAGATTCTGGCTCATCTGTCGTAGTGGGCAGGGTAAAGCTTTGTTTCGGACGAAGCAGAAAAGAGCATAGCAACAGGCTAGAATTAATCAGATTGGTCACTTTTTTTGTATTTGATCAGAATACATTTTTACGTTCAATTTGGGGAATTTTTTTCCCAAACATCCTTGCAGATTTTTTCAGAACATTAATTGATTGGGATGGAAACTGGCAACAGAAAGGTAGGAGTGGAAATAGTGTAAATGTATGAGAAGTATTCAAAAACAACCAAACAAATGGCATATATTTGGACTAAGGATGTTGAATATCTCAGCAACTAAGATGCTAATGCCTTGTAGAGGAGAACATGGTCACTCTGTACACCGTCTGGATGTCAATGGTTACTTTCTCATAACTCACAGTGGGGAGAATACCTTTTTTTCTCTTGCCTCTCAGGGCTATTCAGATCATTATGGAGCTTTATTTTGCATACTAGCTGCATATATATATAGATGTGTGTGTAGTTCTCATGGGTCTGGGACAGGGAGTGTAACTGAGTTTCCCTGGGGGCCTGCAGGGGCCAGCTCCCTGCTACTCTCCCAGGCTTTCACAACCGATAACATCTCTGTCTTTGCGACTTCCATAAGTATACAAACAAAAAGTTTTTAGGAAATGAATTTGTTATTTTGGCCACCCTGGCGTACTGATTGTCTATGATTCCTCTCACAGTAGACACAAAGGATTGATTCGGAGGGAATTGTACTGCAGATGCATGGGTGATGACAGAATTACCACATTAGAAAATGTCAATATTTCAGATGACCATTAACCATCTGCCAGGAGAAATCTAGGCATGTCTGTCTACAGGGACTTGATCATTAATTCTCATCTGGGTCTCTCTCTGTCTGTCTGTGTGTGTGTGTGTGTGTGTGTGTGTGTGTGTGTGTGTGTGTGTGTGTGTGTGTGTGTGTGTGTGTGTGTGTGTGTGTGTGTGTGTGTGTGTGTGTTGTGTGTGTGTGTGTGTGTGTGTGTATGTGTGTGTGTATGTGTGTGTGGGGGGGGGGGGCTCCATCAGAGTATGTTAATGTCTCTCTACAGTAAGCCCACCATGTCAGCATCTGTCCACACACTCCTCCGATGCTTTGGCTTCTTTTCTCACATGGTTGTCCGTGTGCGGGAGCGTGTGTTTGTCTGTCTGTGTGTGTGAGTGTGTGTCTGTTTGTGACAGCGTTCCAGTGTTCTTGCTTAATCTCTCAGGATCAGAGATTGATGGCCAGCATCAGCCAACTTTAGCTTGTCACAACACAGAATGCAACATGTCTCATGTTTTGGCAATATTTGCTATATTACTCACGCTGTAGAAGGTCCATTTGAAAAGCAGGATTTTTTATATTTCTATAATATATTTTTTTACTGTAGCAAATAACTGCAGATGCAAAATTTAGACTGAAAGAATATGATTATTTTATTTTACCAATAACATTTCTGTATACTTGTTCTTTTAACAATGAGCTAATAGCTAAGGAATTAGCAAGCTGTGAACATGCTAGTGCTAGTAAGTCTAGTTTTATGTTCAGAACGGATATTGATCATGTGTTATACAGTTTCCGACAGATGGATTGTGTTCATGTGCATGACTTACTAAAGCAGCCATGTGTGAATTTATTTTAATACAGCACGGTTACTTCGATGACCCTGCTATATTCCAACGTTTTCCTGCTCATTACATGATTGCTAATCGCTTATTTGGAGATTGAGCCTTGTTTCAAACACATTTATCAGACTAACTTATCAGAGTCAGATTGAATGCATATAGGACACATGTATGCAGAAGTGTTCATGATGTTCAGTATTTTTTAACTCCATATTGATTCCATTCAGGAACTAGGCCATCCGTGTGTAAGTTTGGGAAGACAACAACGATCATCCCTCAATCGCATGTTCATGTTTTTATTTAGATTGCAAGGAGAGCATTCACAGCTCTACAATAAATACATTAAAAAAATATTTGACCCATTTAAAATAGTGAAACCATGGAAAATCAATAGTTAGTGATCAATGTACGTTGTCTGTCAGGCTGCCCTACATAAATCAATGCATGGGAAACACTGATAAACTTGGGGGTGCCTTTAACATGTTATGTAATGTCATTAATTGTGTGAAGTCTCGATCTGGTGTATATGTTTAAGCTTGTGTCTGATGATCAAAAAGCTTAGTTGAGCTTAGTGCTTTAGTGCAGCGTCCACACGGCAGCGTGCGTTGAAGCTTCAACGCTTCTGCCCATTCACTTTGAATGGGGTGACGTCACGCTTTGCCGAACTGCATTGTGGTTCCGTCGCTTCAAAAGTTGAGCAATGTTCAACTTTTGAAGCTTCGACGGATGCGTCAGCCAATCAAATTCATTAATTTCTCAAGGTCAGTGCTATTTATAGTGTGGAGTAAGAAAAACAGTATGCCTCCATTAGCACCAGCCACCAGCCTGTACTCCAGCATCTGCTGCTCCACTTTCTTAGACATCTCCCCTGCCAGAGGCGTGGGTGGTGGAGCATTCACACCATTTAATGCTTACGCACAGTGATGCATCCTTTGTAAACCATGACTCAAACAGTGTAATCTGGCAATTTGGCTTTTTTTATATTGCAATTGGGTGCCTTTTGTTGCCATGGTGAAAGTTGCTTGAAGTTATGATGCCGAGCTGTGTGTATCATCTTATCACGAGGCGCGGCGTGTGTGTGTGCGGGGGGGGGGGGGGGTCTTATGTAATAGCATTAATGAAATATAGATTTTACTTGGCCGTAACACGCAAACTGTTCACAACTATTTTGTTTGTGTCTCTTTTTCCAGAGAGCTGATGAGGAGGCAGTGGTGGACCGTGGGGGCACGCGCTCCATGCTCAACACCAACTTTGAGAAGGAAGAACTCGAAGGTAACACCATAAGTGATCATTAATATTAACATTACACAATTACTTATACATCTTTGTGGAGAAGATAAAAGAAAATAGGCACGCGAGGGATTTCTGTATTGTAAGGGGACTCATAATAGAGTGCCCCTTCAATTAAACACATCACTATAACACTTACAAAAAAGCTTTAGTGTGAGTATCTGTCGTCGTTTGGAAGTGTATTTTTATTTATGTAAATTGATAGGACGTTACAATATATTTGTAGTCAAGGAATAGCAGTAAACGTATCCAAAATAGCAGAATTACTGACAGCCGAGATGCTGATGGCGGGAAACTTGTCTGTCTACCTGTCTAAATCACTAAATGGAAATGAGGTTTTGATATGAGTCCTGCAGAATCAAAGTGTGCAGGCTTTTGTCTCTTTGTGTGTTTGCATCAGCATTTCATCCGTCGTAAAAGAGACAGATTTCTACACCAACAGCATTCTGAATTGACCCAACGTGCATAACAAGGTTTTTTGAAAGGTACTTTGGGAAACAGGGAATCACAAAGAGAGCAAATATAGGCATGGTGAGCTTAGGAAAAGTGGGGACAATTACTTATTTTTCACTAGAAAAAAACTCTAGATGATAAAGTAAGATGATTTATATATTTGTAACTTTGTATACGAGGGGAACATTTTATTTTTACCAATTAGATCACACATTTTTGTGTAAGTCAAGCGGTGGAAAGGAGGGAATAAAACATCTATTATCTAGAGATTTGGTTCCCCCGTCAGTATCCACTGTATTTTTGTTGCCAGGCAACGTCCTCATAGGAAGCCGGCAAAGCTGTCAGTCTTTGATTCTGACGTTGCCGATGAGATGGGCTTTCATCTCAAGGACTCCTCATCCTCGAATGATGGTTTCCATAATGACTATCCCTCTGTCTGGTGCTCTGGTAACGCGGACTCTTTGTCAGCAGGAGAGCAACTCCTCTGAAGTTATCTCGCTCACACACTCAGACCCTTTCAGCCCCTTCAACACTCATTCTCATACACCCTTATATTCGGGATAAAAGTAAGAGGTAAGCAGGACATCAAGAACAAAAAACACTTTACATTACTTTATTGAAAATAAAAAAGGAACATGAAATTGGGCGACATTTTCATCCGTTATTTTACACAGAATGTTGTTCATTTTCACTCAATACAACATTAACCGTCCTGATGCCCCAAATACTCGCTAGAGCAACAAATATGGATTAATCTGCTGCTAAAGTGAGTCCTCAACAAATCAAACGGAACAAGCATATAGCACAGTAACTGTATTGAGGATTAATTTGCAAGGATCGGCACCAGGCGGACCGCGGTCCGGATCCGGACCCAGACGCCGACCTATACGGACCCGGAGCTATAATCAATACATTAATAGGGGATTTTTCGGCGCCTCCCGCTTTTTTAACGCTGATTGTGTAATTCGTGGAGAACTGAAGAGTTTTCGTTTTGGGGGTGGGGGGTGGGGAGTCCGTCCGTCAGTCCGACTGACGGACAACTTCTCACTTCAAAAAAGAAGAAGAAATCTAGACCGCAAAAATAATTATACAAGTGAGTACCTATTTTCCTGGCCAAGGACAGGTTCCTTGAACACAACACGAGCGTAATGTATGGGCATAGATATGTCTCATAATTATTTGTGTGAACATAAAAATAATTTGTGTGTAAATATGTGATTTGTAAATGTAAAACAACATCCACAAATGCATTTAAAAGATTAGCAAACTCATAAATACATTTGCAAGTGTAAAACGGATCTGCAAATACGTTAAATATGTTCACAAATAAAAAAAGATCTGTGAATATCTCTTTAACATTTACACCTTTCGATCAGGCATTTGTGAATCCATTTTGTGTTTGTGGACCAAAAATGCGCTTGCGGATCTCAAATCTCTGTTCGCGGATCGTCTTTTTACACACACGGAATTTTGAGACATATTTTCCGCCGGTCTCGGCTAAAATCTACTCGTGTCACTCGGTTATTTTCGGAAACCACGTGATGGCCTGCTGATGACGACATTTCCGCATGATTTCAATAAGAGCATGATGGTTTGTTTAATGCTCTGTTTTTGTATTATAATGAACAGCGGAACGTTAGATGTATTCTTCATCACCATAACCCTGACCTAAATACGGTGCTTTTCTACAGATTACTTTATGACTGCACTGGTAAAGTAAAATTAGGCCGATTAATAAGATGTGAAGTGCTTTGTAACTTCGACCCGCTTGACTGAATACACAACAAACAATGAAGAAAGAGTTTTATCTGGGCTGTTTCACTGCCAGCTGCTCCCCCGGGACCCGAAAGTGGCGTAGGCCTATAGCCTGCACTTCAACATCAACGAAAGTGCTCGATATATGCTGTATTGAACCAATAACACAAACTAACTGTATCACTATAACATGATGATGATGGTGATGGTGATGAAGAATGCATCTAACGTTCCGCTGTTCATTATAATACAAAAACAGAGCATGAAACAAACCATCATGCTCTTACTTTGAAATCATGCGGAAATGTCGTCATCAGCAGGCCATCACGTGGTTTCCGAAAATAATCGAGTGACACGAGTAGATTTTAGCCGAGACCGGCGGAAAATATGTCTCAAAATTCCGTGTGTGTAAAAAGACGATCCGTGAACAGAGATTTGAGATCCGTGAACAGAGATTTGAGATCCGCAAGCGCATTTTTGGTCCACAAATACAAAATGGATTCACAAATGCCTGATTGAAAGGTGTAAATGTTAAAGAGATATTCACAGATCTTTTTTTATTTGTGAACATATTTAGCGTATTTGCAGATCCGTTTTACACTTGCAAATGTATTTGTGAGTTTGCAAATCTTTTAAATGCATTTGTGGATGTTGTTTTACATTTACAAATCACATATTTACACACAAATTATTTTTATGTTCACACAAATAATTATGAGACATATCTATGCCCATAGTAACGTGTCTTCACGTGGACGTGGTATGTCGTATGGGTATGTCTCGTCTGAAAGGAGTGCTCAGAGAGCACCGGAACCCCGCTCCAGCCCTTCAAATATTGCAATACCCATAAGGAGCCGTATTATATGCCACAGTGTTTACGTGGCTGTGTCTTTAGTTGTAAGCACAGTGGCGATCTGTTGTTATTAGCATCTGGTTAGCTAGCTATGCTAACGAATTTAAAGAGCTTTTTTACAACCAGGTGGAAGAGAGCTCTCTCCTGAGAGGCTCAAATAACCTCAGCTCAGTGAGGTTAAGGCACACCTTGATATGATCATTATATAGTTATTAATGAGACTAAATGAAAAACAGGTATAAAATACTATATGACAGTAACAAAAAAGTTGTTAAAAATAACAAGAATAGAGTTTAAAAGGGGAGTGATTTGTAAAATATCCCAAAAGAAAAATCTGCTTACAGTTCTTTTTCATATGGGTGTTGAGAGATGTATCCATATATCTCTTCATGTTGCTCTCAAAGTGCACCAGATTGATGCTTTTAACTTCAATATTTAATATCCCCGGACCCCCCTAGAGGAGGTTAGGTCCCCCCCCCACTTAAATTATATTCACATGGATAGGATACTAAATACATTTGCACACATCTTGTGTCCATATCTTTCTGTTTTGGTGGTCATGCCACAACCGTGCACATGCATGCATGCGCGAGTCATGGTGAGATATCTGGATTGAGAGGTTGCTTTTTCTTTGCACAGCATGAAAGAAAGGCAACATGAATGGGCTGTGATTTTAGTTTTTTTTAAGCAGAGGTTGAGTTCAATCATTTGTACGGCCCTCGGAGGATGTTGTAAAAATTGAAAGGAAAAAAGGTCCCCACCCCTGCTGTAAATAATAATAAAAACCCTTGATTTATAACTTAACATCTCTTGATCTGAGTATATTATAAAGAATAGCAGTTAATTGAAGCATTATAGCACAGGCCTTTGTCAGATGGTATTACGCTGTTTTTTTCCTGCTTCGAATAGTTCTCTCTTTTTTCACCATACCTGTGTTTGCATCACTGTAACCAATGAGCACCTGCATGTGTGTGAGAATGGCCCTGACTCCATTTCAGCCCAGATTTACAAACTCCTGGCAGGACAAGCTCGAGCTCAATTCTCACACTGAATTAAAACAAAGTGAGTGAGGGACTGCAATATAAGAGGGAAAGAAAGAGAGACTTTAAAACTGTTCAATTGCTATGCTGTGTAAAGACTGATATTGTTCTATAATCGTCTGAAACTGTCAAGTCATGATGTGAAACGGTTAACAAAGAAAAAGGGAAACTCAAGCTGCTGCTACACTTTATTTTATTTATCTAAAATTAAGCACTTTTAAGATGCACATATTTTCAAAAGCTATTTTATTTATTTTCTCTATTTTATTTGTAAATGCAGCCCGAGAGGAACATTACACATAGCCACAGTATTTTACTGTATATCTGTATAGTTCAATGTTAATAGACAATAAATATTGTTGTTTATGAATTGTACTTTCTTTATTTGATTGGCAGTCAGTTGTTGATTACATGCAGACGTTGATAAAGCTGCAGGCTACTTCAATATATATCACACTAATTCATAAAGCAAGTTAGACATTTTGATGTTCCGGACCTTTGCATGGGGACATTTTCTCTAACTGGACCTCGTTGAATTTTAGTTGAATACCCCTGATTTAGAGCAATGATTGTTCTGTAACGTCAGAGCTGCGTATCTAGACCCAGTCGTGTGAGGAGAAAGCCCAGCCAATCAGAACGGATGTATTCTGTGGCCCTGAAAGCAGTGTATTCATGAATACACACACAAAGACATGGAATAGCAGTGCGTCACGCACCGCTGCATGAATGCAAGGCTTGACTGACGGAAAAAAAGAGAAAACATTGTGTGACATCAGTAGTAGTTCAGGCCTGGAGGAGGCGAGCTATTTATAAGTCATGGCTCATGAGCTCTAGTGCTCCGTTTTCCTCACATACCTGCTACTTCCTGTCTGCTGGAATCTGCTTTACGGTGAAACTTGCTTCATGTGCAAAGTCAGTTTTACCTCTACTTCCGACATACATCATTTACACACTGCTAACAGCAATCTGCTCTGCCTGAATGCGTCTCCAGTAGACAGAGTAAAATACACTTTCAAACTGCAAATACATTTTTACACACGGTTAGTTTTACCGCTACGTTCTCTGAGACCTCACTTAACCTCTGTCCTGGAATCCTACTGATGAAAGACGAGTGAGTCTCCTTTCAATCGCTGTGATGCCAGAGTGCTCTCAGGTGATTCACGTGATGTCTGTGCATTCATCTGATTACTGCCCTATGATGGGATTTGTCTCCAAGAACAGTTTAAGGAATTCATGGGGGATTTTACCCCCTCATAATAAATGAAAATATACAAAATAAGTCTCACAATAATAAACAGAATAAGCTCATTTATTTCTAAAACATGCACAAGCCGCACACCCTCCACAAATGGCTTTACTTGAGCTAGGATTTAAATTTGAGAGAGTTCCCTAATGTTTGTGTAAATAAGATTATGTTCAAGGGATTTGGTTTAGTTTTTAGAAGTGAACAGGACACCATAATGTCAGAGTTTTTCTTTTACCAAAACAAACAAGCAAAACTCAACTATAAAAAAGCAATATAAGTGTGTCTTAGTTAGGTAAAACTCAAACTAATTGAGGGGAACATGTCCCCCGTCACATGTGAATATGAAACCTTTCATTATATTACAGAATAATAAATCAGAGAATATTTGTATCACTCAATGTAACGTGATTGAGCTGCCTGGACTTTAGCAGTGAAGATGGATTAAAAAGAGATCACAGTTAATTATAGACTTCCTTGTCATTTTGGTTTCTTCCTTGTAAAATGATGGTAAAGCAGGGAGCTAATTAATAATCCTCTGATGTAGCTGTCAAGCATCAAACTGCCCTTGGTGTCACATTACGCCAGGGGCAGAGGCATCTCATCTGGTGCAGGAGAACGAGGCGTTCAATAGTCCTGTCTGCGTCCGGCCACTAAGACGAGGGCCGGCGGGAACAAGCAGCAGCGGGGCAGCTTGACCGCAATAAAGGTGGAGGAAGTCAGCTCGCATTATCTATGTGTGCACGTACACATACACGCACAGAGAAAGGCCCTTGTGCTCACACAGTACAATATCCTTCCACAGTCCCAGTCTCATTATCTGCTCTGTATTCATTTAAAATTTAAATCTGTAAAAGTCCTCAAATTACAAGATCCATTTCAGCCTCCTTAAAGAGGACAATGGTTCTATTCAAGCCCAGGAGGGTTTCCCAACATTTGTTACAATGCCTACATTTTGGTTTGCTTCGAGGTACTGAGTAACCGCATTCCGTCTGTGACCCGTTTTGTTCTGTCACCCGCATGGCTTCATACCATTTACAAATTACCTCATTCATCCGGTTCCCTATTAGCAATGGGTTTGAATCTGAAATATTGCCAATTTTGCAAAAGATCTGCCCTCGTCTTGTTGGTCAACCCTCCTCTCACAAAGACTTGAGTAAAATCTGACTCTTGCTACTCTGGTGTGCAACTATGCTGTTGCTGATTCAAGATGAAAATGCCCCCCCCCCCCCCATTGTTAGCTACTTCACTGATTCTGTATGGGTCTTAAAAAACGTCAAAGAATGAATCCATGACATTGTAAAAAGACGGGAAACATCAAACTAGTCTTGAGTTTAAAGAACAGACCGTAGAGTCTCACATTGTCTCAAATCAAATCAAGTTTTATTTATATAGCACATTTATAAACGATTTTTGGTCGAGCCAAAGTGCTGTACATATAATAAAAATAGCCTACAGTAGAGACACTTTACAGCAAAAACAACAGCACAGATTGTTCAGAATATCAGTATGAGTAAAACGACACCCTCTATCCTTAGACCCTCACATCGTACAAGGAAAAACTTCCAGAGAAAAACCTGTCTGGTGCATGTTTCTCCAGGTCACCGCACTCTCTACATCGGGGTTCACGTTCCTGTGGGCAGGAGGTCGCACCGACGTCACCGTCACCATGGACACAAACACAGGAAGAGGTCCAAGGAGAGGGACTCTACAACTGATGATGGAAGAGAATCTCCGTCTCACAGTAGGTCTTAAAATGGACTAAATTAAACTCCGAACAAGTTCCACCAATGCACATCATGTTCTATTTTCCTGTTTCATATCTGTCCTGTCGCCTTTGCCGCTCCTTTATCTGTCTCCACACACTTTCCCATTTACTATAGCAGACACACCAGCTCAGAGGGTGCAGTTCCTGTTGGGGACAGAGGATGCCGATGAGGAACACATTCCTCATGCCCTGTTTACGGAGCTAGACGAAATCTGCCTCAGGGAGGGTGAGGACGCAGAATGGAAAGAGACAGCCAGGTACACCACTGCAGTCGGTCCCATGGGCTACAGCTGGCCAGATGTGCCAATTCTCCTCTCCTGGGAGTTTGATCGTGTTTATTTCTGACTGCAACTTTTCTCACCAAGCTGTTGTTATATAACCATTCCTCCCAGGATGTCCAAACTTAGTATCAAAGCATACACTGTATCATTTATATATCAGATAGGAGGACACGTTCTCTACAATGTCAATCAAATTGCTCATTATAGTGTTTGGAACTGATACTTTTTTTTTTAACTTCTATCAAATATAAACGTATGATTTATTTATGTGTGATGTGTGCAGGTGGCTCAAGTTTGAGGAGGATGTTGAGGACGGTGGTGAGCGGTGGAGTAAACCCTACGTAGCCACTCTGTCTCTACACAGCCTTTTTGAGCTTCGTAGCTGCATCATGAACGGCACCGTGATGCTGGACATGAGGGCCAACTCGCTGGAGGAGATCGCAGGTGAACACTTACAATAATTGAAAATGTTCCATGGTATTGTGTAGCTCAGGGCTTAAAACTATAAACGGCCTTATCTGTTACTATCAACACTCTCTAGTTACTTTTGGCAGCAGAGCATTATAACGAGTAAACAGAAGTTCACAAAGACAGTGTTTTCATTTTTGAGGGCAGCAAAGTGTGTTAATCTGATTGTGGGAAAAACTGTGCTGCTGAATAGATCTGGTGAACATAGCCTAGTTTGTGGCGATGTTATAAGCTTCAGTGGGTCTGAGTGGGTTTTAGTGGGAATAATCAGCTCAGTAGGTACACACTTCATTAGACTTTGTGAATTTGAAATGAACTGTTTAAAGATTAATGTGGAAACCTACATGTGTATACTTTTAACCTTTCAGATATGGTTCTGGATCAGCACGAGCTGTCAGGTCCTGTAGGTCCGGAAGCCAGGAGGAGGATCCGCGAGGCTCTGCTCAAACAGCACCACCACCAAAACCACAAGAAACTGGCCAACCGCATACCCATCGTACGCTCCTTCGCTGATATCGGCAAGAAACAATCTGAGCCTCATTCTATGGACAAGAATGGTGAGCACTCATACACACACACTGCAGTCTTTTCATCACCTTGTTATATTCTCAGCTTTTCCCAACATATATGTCGATGTGTGTAAAAATATACAGTGTTTCTGTATGCATAATGTTGTAATCCTTTCCATGCTTTTTCCAATGTTTGTCCATTTGTGACTTTTATTGCTGTTTGATCTCATTTTCTCCTCTTGTGTGTTTCTCCATGTGTGTGTGTGTGTGTGTGTGTGTGTGTGTGTGTGTGTGTGTGTGTGTGTGTGTGTGTGTGTGTGTGTGTGTGTGTGTGTGTGTGTGTGTGTGTGTGTGTGTGTGTGTGTGTGTGTGTGTGTGTGTGTGTGTGTGTGTGTGTGTGTGTGTGTGTGTGTGTGTGTGTGTTGTCCTCTGCTGTATTTGCATGTGTGTGCCCGTGTGTCATTCATTCAAGCAGTGAATGGCCTCTATTATGAAACGGTAACATCTCCCAATCGTATGCTTGAATTCCCCGATATTACTCCACCAAGAAAGGCCTTTTCCTGTTTGGCACGGGTGTGTGTGTTGCGTGTCATGTCTGTCCCCCCCTCCATCACGTTTGAGCTCCTCCAGCAGCCATGGCAACATGACCCCAGACACGCCCTTTGGCAATCCCAACACCAAACGCCTTAGTGTTCTTCAGGCAGTTGCACAAGGCTACTGTCCCATCGCACATGAAGACACAGAGCAGGAAATCTGCACAGGCAACCAGAGCTCATGCTTAACACTAAAGCTTAGTTAGCTATACTACCAATAGAATAAACAGGTACACATTAAAGTGGAGAGCATCATCGTGAGAGGTTAGAAATGGGTATGCAGTGAAGAAAAGAGAGGAAATATGGTCCTTCAATTCTATTTTTGGAACTTAAAAGTGAAGCAATAAGAATAAAAGCACACAAATGCACACAGTTTTTTGTTCTTCCAAAGAAAAAAGGGGCATGTGCAGCGTGCCAGTTTTCATGATAATGCTCTCCACTTCTTGTCATTGTGAATGTTTAATGACTAAAACCATAAGAGATGTGTGACTCACGCTCTACACTCATAACAGTGACTAATTACTAATAGTGTTAGCTCCTTGCTTAAAATCCATATTGTGACTTCTTTAAAAACAAGAAATAGCTTATAACCTTTATTTTGTTGCCTTTGGGATTTACATTTAAAGAAACAGTTAACAGTGTGTGGAAATATGTTTATTCACTTTCTTGCAAATAGTTTGTCATACTATGTCATCCCTATTTTGTTTCCACACCCAGCAATCCAGGTTGGTTGAGCTAACCAGCTGCTGGCTTTACTGTAGTCTCATTATAAAACCAACAGCTATGAAAGTTGTATCAATCTTCCCAACTAAATCTCTGTAGGAAAGTGTTTTTGGAATATGCCTTTAGTGTTGCACAATTCCTTTAGTGGCAGTAGCATCACTCCTAACTGACACAGGTGACGGTTTGAGCAAACCACATGTTTCACAAGTGCTGGGATTTGCTCAAACAGCTGTAACTGGTGCATTCACTTCACACTAAGGACTTATTTTAAAGGAGCAATCTTTGACTTTTTAAATAAAACCTTTTTGTTGATACACACATTCAAAATTGGAGGTTAAAGATTGTACCTTATTTAGTTTAGTAACCTTGAAAGATAAGCCTAAGGTTTAGCTATAATCACTATCCACTGCGCCAGTGAGCACTCATCAGATTCATATTAAGCTAACTCACCAGGTACACTCTGAAACCATGTACAATATTATCTTTTGTCACTGGGGCTGAACCTTTTCATCAATCAAGGTCAAGCTCCCAAAACAAAAGGGTCCACTGTTGTATCATATTGTTCAGAGAATGTAACTGTACCTCACTCACTGGGGACCTTTGTGTGGGAAAGAAGTATTTTGATAGGCTGTACCTGCGTGAAAATTGACATGATGTTGCTTTGGTGCTCTTCCTCACAGGCCAAACAGTCTCACCTCAGTCCCAGTCGACTAACAATGATGGCAAACAGGACGTGAGCAGAGAAAACAGTGCTGTGGACTTCAGCAAGGTGAGCTCCCAGACCCACCGCTGATCCTGCTGTTTATCTACGGGCACTGATATCTGAGCACATAACTAGTCCTGTATATTTAACCGATTGGGTTACAGGTGAAAGGATCACTGTGAGCCTCTCACCCAGGGAAAATAAGGGGGATTTAACAGGAGTAAAGCTTGTCTTCTTTTGTTGTTTGGGGTCAAATCCAGGCTGTATTTTGGAATTGTATTCAGCACAAAATATTGGTCTTAAGATGCTATTATTGTTTTCTTTCCGTCTCACAGATTGACCTCCATTTCATGAAGAAGATCCCTCCCGGTGCTGAGGCGTCTAACGTCCTGGTGGGGGAGCTGGAATTCTTAGAGCGCCCCGTGGTGGCCTTTGTCCGCCTGTCCCCTGCTGTGCTGCTCAACGGCCTGGCTGAGGTTCCCATCACTACAAGGTTTTACGCTTACTGATGGGAAAAGCACTTCTCTCTGTATTCTGTATCGCTTCTGGATAGATGAGCTGATAATCCCCTGAATGCTTCCTCAGAAAAGGATTTGACTTTTACTCAAACCTGTTGTCCTTTGTGTTGCACAGGTTTCTTTTCATCCTGCTAGGCCCTTTGGGAAAAGGTCCACAGTATCATGAAATTGGCCGGTCTATTGCTACACTCATGACTGATGAGGTGAGGCCTAAGTACAACACTTTTTAATAATGTAAACATATGTACAATAACAACAATTCAACTTACTTGAGCCTTTAGGGCTGAGGAGACACTTGTCTTGGTGCCCCATAAACATTTAAATGGACAGCATTTTTAGTATTAGTGATTTTGGATCCCTGCCAAGCTGTCTTGTAAAATAGGTTTTTTCACTATCAAATAAATTAATCCGTACACATAAATGAGTTTAATTTGTAAACGTTATAAATGGCATTAAGGCCGTTTGAGTAGTAGAGAAACAGTCCTATGAATCAAAAGTCCCCTTACCAGCTCTAGTGACCTGATCTTTGACCTCTGTTAAAAGCAGGGGAATCCTTAAGGGATCAGCAGAGTGTGACATGCAAACAGCGACAGGATATCCCACAGCTGCACTTACTGACCATCATATGAGCCAGATGTTGCTATTTTTTCTTCCTTTTACAACCGTCCTGTGCGATGTACTATGAAAATAGACGTGTATCCAAGTCAGCCTACCTCATACAATGACTGATTTTAAATGCCATTTTCTTAATGTCTTTCATTTTTTGTAAAGCACTTTGAATTGCCTTGTGTTGAAAAGTGCTATATAAATAAATTTGCCTTGCCTTGCCTTGCCTTGCAATGCAGTATATTCTGAATATTTCATGTTTTGTTGTGGAGATATGGACTTTCTGTAAATATACTGAAGAAATGAACTCCCTTCATTTGCTCCACAGATTTTCCATGATGTTGCTTACAAGGCCAAAGACAGGAATGACCTGGTGGCAGGCATCGATGAGTTTCTGGACCAGGTGACAGTGTTACCTCCTGGAGAGTGGGACCCCTCCATCAGAATAGAACCTCCCAAAAACGTGCCTTCTCAGGTAAACCAATGACAGTACATAACAAACCATTTGTTGCACACATTTATGGACGTAACAGTAAATAGGATGAATGTTTCCAAATTGAAGGAATCATCTGCAGCAAAACAATTAGAATTATATACCACTGTTATGTCATAATGTGCCTGAGTCCCCTTTGCAACGCACTGCCTTCTGAGAACTATTTAAACATCTGCGTTCACCCTATTATCTACTGCGTTGTACTCTGTGCTTTGATGCCGCTCCCCAGGGTTCTGCTCTCAATCCTCTCACACACAATTTTCCTACATTTGTTATTTTTACCGACTTTGAAAATTCGCCATCTTGTTTGGAAGAGCTACCTAACAGAAAGCTGCTTTGGGTGATTAAAAAGTAGTTTTTCTTTTCCTCGCTGTGCAATTCGATTGTTGTGCTGATGAACTCTGTATCAGAAACAGCTACATTTATGAATAAGAGATCATCTGGTGGCAACAAATATAAGACTATTATTGTTCCTATGATCCAGTCACAGACAGTTGACTGACAGTGATCTTAACCATGCAGGAAAAGCGAAAGATTCCCCCTCTTCCCAACGGAGTGACAGATCTTGGAGAGTCGGAGGACCACGGAGGACACGGTGGGCCTGAGCTGCAGCGCACTGGGAGGTAAGTGTTAGATAGAGACATTGTGATTTGACAGCCTCGAGCTCTTGAAGCTCCTCTTCCTCCCCGTCTTCCTGTCGCCTGATAGCTGCCTCCCTGTCCCCAAACTATAAATATAGCCCTCTTAGAGGCAGACTACTCTACTGGTGCATTATCATTCCTCATGCTATAATGCAACAAAGACCTTTTTAAGATTTAAATAAAGGTTTTACAGATGAAAAAACATCATGTTGTCATTACCTAGAAATCACCTAATGACAGGCAGGAGATTTTTGACCTTCAACTTGGATCAATAAAATGACGTGTGAGACGATAAGTGTATATCTTTGTAGTTTAATAGCACATCAGTGAGTGATGTGCTGCTGAGCTGTGGTACGGTGCATTACAGGCTCTTACACCAGCTAACATTGTCCGGAAGCTCATTCTCGGCTATCAAACCCCACCAAATCCCTCCCGGGACATTGCTCTACTGCCTCAGACTGGAACAAGCAAACTGTCCCGCCCACTGTTTCCATGGCAACCACCTCCTGCTTCTTAACACGGTCCTGGCTCGCTGCATCACGAGAGCCTACTCACTGTGGTTGAGAGTCTTTTAAAGATAGATGCATGAGTCAAAGGTTATCAGCATTGTAAATGTAGGTCAGAGGGGGCCTGGTACACCAAATAGAAGGTCCTATTATATCTCTTCACACAGTTCATTTCCAAAAGAAGCAATACAAGCAGATGACCTCCTTATTCCAAAACCCCCAAAATAGTCAGAAAAATGTCCCATTGCAGCAAAAACACTATGTTTCATTCAGTTTTGCAATGTGTCGATTTTACGTTTGATTACGAGCGGTTATTTCATGATTTCCCTGTTCCACCACAGGCTTTTTGGCGGGTTGTTCTTGGACATTAAACGGAAGGCCCCTCACTACTTTTCCGACTTCAAAGATGCCATCAGCCTGCAGTGTCTGGCCTCCTTCCTCTTTCTCTACTGCGCCTGCATGTCACCCGTCATCACCTTTGGAGGACTCCTGGGGGAGGCCACAGAGGGACGGGTGGTAAGAAACAAACATCTTCATTGCTTATTTTTCTCTTAGAACTTGAACCCTTTCACAGTTTGTTTTCACATTCTTGAAAATAATTGTAACATTTTGTTCACTTAAAAAAGTCCTGTTAATTATACTTATGGTTAAAAAAACAAACAGTTCTATTATTTAATTAACAAATTGAGCATTAAACACAAAGACAATGATAGTTGAATTTTAAATCCAGATATTAACTGATACTCTCCTACAACTAACTCATACAGTATATCTCTGAGTGATGTGTTTATCACACAAGTTGACAATGCCATTCTAGCGTTAACATTTTGCTCAAAGCTCCGCGCTCTTAAAGCACTATGTTTTTCTCCGTGAAGTAACAATGTAAAGCAGTTGAATCAGTCTATTATTTCCTGTTTTCCCAGAGTGCTATTGAGTCCCTGTTTGGGGCTTCCATGACTGGAATCGCCTACTCTATTTTCGCGGGGCAGCCGCTCACCATCCTGGGCAGCACTGGGCCTGTGCTTGTCTTTGAGAAAATCCTCTTCAAGTTCTGCGCGTATGTCATCTTCATTTTCCCTTTTCAGTGCAAATTGTGTTAAAAGTAGAATCCTTCTGTGTTTGCTTTCTGCTTGAGTTAAGATGCCATATCTAATAGCTTGTGCCTTCACTCACTGTGTGTTTCTGTCCGTCTGTCTCAGTGAGTATGGCCTCTCCTATCTCTCCCTGAGGGCCTGTATTGGCCTGTGGACAGCCTTCTTCTGTCTGCTGCTGGTGGCCACGGATGCCAGCTCGCTTGTCTGCTACATCACACGCTTCACTGAGGAAGCTTTTGCTGCGCTGATCTGCATCATCTTCATCTACGAGGCTCTGGAGAAGCTGCTCCACCTGGGGACGCATTACCCCATCAATAAACACAACAACCTGCAGACTCTCACTCAGTACTCGTAAGTTCTGTGTTGAAATCCACAAGTGCTGCTTTTCTTGATGGTGCAGATCCTTTGGAAAATTATCAACAAAGTTTTTATCATCCAGTCTGACCCCTTGAAGCTGGAATGATGCTGTCATCGTTGCATGCACATTGACCCGGAGCACATGAAAGTGTTTTGCAGCATCATCACGACAGATGGTGTAGTTGTGTTGTAGACACACTGTCCAGTTTCTCTGTAATGGGTTTTGCTTCATGGTGAATAAATCCCATGTTGAGAGTGTGTCAGGAGCATCATGCATTATCCCAACACATACGCTGGCTAGTGGTGATGTCAGGCCAAGAGCTCCTTCTGTGCTTCTCTATTCTGGTGAAGTGGACAGCAGGGGATGCTGACCTTTTTACTTTTGTAAAATGCCAGCAAAATAACATGTCAGAAGTGTTGTGAAGAGTGCATCAAATGATTTGTTTCCATTAGACCTTTTGATTTATCCGTCCATTATTTTCTAGATTATTTAGGTATTATAGCTTTAAATGATTTAAAACAATTATAAATGTCAGTGATACGGATTACAGATAACTAACACAGCAGAGGAAAACACATGTCAGTATGTATTAGGGATGCTCGATTATGGCAAAAATCATAATCTCGATTATTTGGGTCAATAATTGATATCACGTTTATTAAAAACGACTATCCATTTACTTTGAAAACATACAAAAAAATGTAACACTATGTTTTTAACACTTGATTACCCTGAACTTTAAGTATAATTCAACTGAAAAACCAATAAAAAAAGAAATCGTTTGATTATGTTGTTTACATTGCAAGCCAAAATCGTAATTGCGATTAAAATACGATTAATTGAGCAGCCCTAGTATGTATGAATTGTATCTATAGCTCATTAGGTTTTTTTTTAGTGCCTTGGACTTGATCAAATAATCCCTGTTACTGCAGGTCTGTGGATTGCTTTCTTAAAGTGACCCTGAAATGTTGGTGGTGATCAGAGTCAGGCCATTTCCCAACTAAAGACCAAACCTAAGCCCTTGAAAGTGACCAGAAATATCAGCCCAGTAATGCCCAAACCACTTTTCAGGTTTATTTGGAAACATAAATGATCCTCCAGAGAACAATGACAGGGTTGTTTCTCAGCTGAGGAATGTCCTGCTTGGTCACTGTTCTTGGAAGAATACGTTCACAGGATCAAAATTAAAAAGAAAAGAGGGGAAAGGGCGTATCAAATTCATACCGGTATCACCCTTAGAATCCAGAATGATTCTTATATCAGATGCGTGTCCCAAACTGTCCCATGGTCCCAATGATGTCCCCTTTCTCTTAAAGAACCTAGTTTGAATTTGCTTGTTTCTTTTGTTTGTTGTTTTTTCTCTTTACGATTACAAGTTTTTTGGTTTCAGATTATAATATTCACCTTGTCCTCTCAAATATCCTCCATAGGTGTGCGTGTGTGGAGCCCATAAACCCCAGCAATGACACTCTGCAGTTCTGGGAAGAGAAAAACATCACAGTCTCACAGGTCAACTGGACCATGCTGGAGGTCAAGGTAAGGAACCCATGACATTTGGAGAAAATCACATCAAAATAACTATATAATGCGTTCATTACTTAATGGGCCCACGAGACACAGGACCAGCCCCCCTGTCTTTTAGATACTACATTTCACTCCGAGACACATGATCTGTCTCTGTCTGCTGTTAACAAAGAGCAGTCAAAGTGTGATCTCGAGTGGAGGGGAGAAAAAAACACAGACAGAAATATCACATCTGATAACAGTTCCTTTCCCAGCCTTTGATTAACACACTAACATAAAAACCCTAGAAAGTTGGGGGTGTTTTTGCCAGTCTTTGGCACAGTGTCTCCTACACTTAGCTTCATCAGGAAGCGTCAGAAGTCTAGGCGGGGATTAAAAGCATGTGGGAAGGATTTCACAGGATTTAGACGTGCAGAATGGGCATGGAGATAAACTGTGAAGAGTAGATTCGTGCCGGTGGCGTAATGCTGCGTCACTCCTACACACGCTTGTAGATGTGGAGCAAATGTTTTTAAAGGCTGTTGGGATTGAATGCAAATGGATGAATCATGTACTATACGGACATTTAAAGCAGAGTAATAAATAAACTATTACTGGATGTTGTTCACTAATTCACCACTGACACCATCATCGCCATTATCTCCCTTGTCATTTTAATTGGCCTCATTAACGCTGATTATTATCCCCACCATCATCATCATCATCATCATCATCATCACCATCTCCTCTGTGGCCAGTAGGAGTGCGAGATGTTTCACGGGGAGTTTGAGGGTACCGCCTGCGGACCCCATGGCCCCTACGTCCCGGACGTCCTCTTCTGGTGCGTGGTCCTGTTTTTCTCCACCGTCCTCATGGCCGCATTCCTCAAGGAGTTCAAGACGAGCCGTTACTTCCCCACCAAGGTACGCAGCACACTACCTTTCTCTGAGTAATTCATAAAAACAAAGACACATTACATCTTTAAGAGGACGGTTTATCCTCAAGTGTATGACCTGCTTTTACATTTGTTATCAAATCAAAACAAGTTTTATTTATATAGCACATTTAAAAGCGATTTTTGGTCGTGCTGTACATGTTATAAAAACACTTTACTACAATCACAATAAAAGACAATAATATACAACAGAAATATAAAAAACAAAAACACAGGGAATAGTCAGGTGTCATACTCCGCTCTGAGAGAAAAAGTGTGTCTTGAGTGAGGATTTAAAAACCCCTAGTGTCTGGGCCGACCTCACAGTTACAGTCACAGGCAGTTACACTCCTCCATTCACTTTTCATTGGTATTACTCTGAAATTGGGTTTCTTGCCTCTGTCTGTGTCATTTTAGATAATGCTGCCATCTATTGGTTGTATTATTCCACAGCAAAAATCCTGCAGTCTGTGTGGCATTTCTATGTGTGCAATATCTATGATTCATGACACTCATGAGCCAATGTGTGGCGTGACTTCTGCAAACCAATCCACAGTATGCAGGCGCCTCCTTTTGGTGATGAATATATACCGTCATCTGCAACACCACTGCTTAATGTTTTTATGGCTCCCAGTGCATTTAATTGAACAGAGCAATGTTCAATACTTTATAAACAATATTCTTAGTCAGGCATTGAAGCAGATCAAGAAGTACAGTATATAGACACAACACTTGTTTGAACATTAAAGCATGTAAACATGTCACATAAGAGGCACAATATACAAATACGAACCTTGTAAGGGAAACTTCTGTGTAGCAACGCAGTGGGAGTCACCGACTCAGGAAGGAGACACGGGAAGAGCAGGAGCTTTGATGTCAAACACTGATGGTTTATTTGGAGTTAACGGCCGGAGGATTCACATCACAAGTCCAAGAGCCAGAGGTTCTGACTTCACGGTAGAGTTGCCACGTCAATTCTAAAGAACTCTACCTCAGACCCATGTATTTAACTAGTTCTGAGAGCATCATCAAACTGCTGCATAACAAGATAAAATCATAACACCTCTATCAGCTGACGCCAACAGGCAGGAACAGGGAGACAGAACACTGAGAGCACAGCAGCCAAGATTACGAGGTGCGTGTGCTCAGTCAGGACAGTTTGAACTGATAAACTGGGTCAAAGTTATGGGCCTTGGAAAATATTTCCACAACAAACCTGAAAGTGAGCATGATAGGGCCCCTTTAAATGACCAAAACAAGTTGAAACTAGCATTGGGCTAAACTTTGTATTCATTCTGACAATAGAGAAATAAAAATGAACAAAACAGATCATTGGGTTTATCAGAACAGAAGTGCCTTTGTCTGGCTATTGGCTTCTTGTTTTGCTCCTGAGTATTCTCTACAACAGTGCTTCTCAAACTCTTTTCAGTAATGTACCCCCTTTGAAACATTTTCTCAGCCAAGTACCCCCTGACCGACCCGAACATTTTTGATCGAAAAAGCCTATACAAATGATTACAATGTAGTGATGTTCCCTCAGTGTGTGATTTATTAACTCCTTCGTGCATGCACAACAAACTAAGGATATTTTCATCTTCATGCATGAAAAAAAATAACATAACAACGTTTTTATAAAACAACCAAGGAGTTTTTCAATTTAAGTCATATGTTTATAAACCAATGAACAAAATTATATATTGTGAAAAACTATAAAATACATACACATTTGACATGTTTATATGAGGACCCCCTTGGTGGTTCTAGGAATATTTTATATACAATTGTGTTTTCTATGTAACTTATTGTACTGAGATTATTTTTGTAATCATGCATGGTATTTTTTTAATTAACCTTTTTTTTATTTTATTTTTGAAATCTCACGTACCCCCTGCAGTACCCCAACGTACCCCCAGGGGTCCGCGTACCCCCATTTGAGAATCACTGCTCTACAATACGTGTGTGTAGCATGGGTTTTGTGTGAAGACTGTGCCTCTCTGTTCCCTGCAGGTGCGCGCCATCATCAGTGACTTTGCTGTGTTCATCACCATCCTGACTATGGTTCTTGTAGATTACGCCCTGGGGATCCCCTCACCCAAATTGCAGGTCCCCAGCAAGTTCAAAGTAAGTCCACATGAAAGCTTGTGTATGCATTGATAACTCCTACTTTAGATCTGGAATATAAAAGGCACAGAAACAATGTAACTTGTTTTGTCGGAAATCCAAAATGTATCTCAGGAGGCTTGTAGAACAACAAATAGTCTCATTTAATCACATACCTTTCCCTCTCTCCAGCCCACCAGGGATGATCGTGGCTGGTTGATAAACCCTGTGGGGCCCAACCCCTGGTGGACCACCATCATCACTTTCCTCCCTGCTCTCCTCTGCACCATCCTCATTTTCATGGACCAGCAGATCACAGCCGTCATCATCAACAGGAAGGAGCACAAACTAAAGGTATTTCAAAACTTTAGAGAGCTTCATTGTTTATTATGAACTCTGCTAAATCTGAACCCAACTGTCCTTGTCCCGTCCGTGCAGAAAGGCTGTGGCTACCACCTGGACCTGTTTGTGGTGGGGGTGATGCTGGGGGTGTGCTCGGTGATGGGCCTGCCGTGGTTCGTGGCAGCCACCGTGCTCTCCATCTCCCACGTGAACAGCCTGAAGCTGGAGTCGGAGTGCTCGGCCCCCGGAGAGCAGCCCAAGTTCCTGGGTATCCGAGAGCAGCGCTTCACCGGCCTCATGATCTTCACCCTGATGGGCTGCTCCGTCTTCATGACCTCTGTGCTAAAGGTCAGGGGAGAAACACACACATATACTACATAGTGACAAATACAGTACCAACATAAAACAGCACTAATATTGTCTATTTATTTTCTATCAAGATGAAAATGTCATAAATTAGGGGTAAGAATATGTTCCTAAATTTGACTCTTAATATTGCCCCTCTCTCCTGGCTCCATAATATATCATTGTGTTTACTAAAATTGACTTAAACACCATCTTAACAAGTGTATAAGAGAAATAATTATCTTCAAATAGTTTTAGCCCTGATCCTGAATATATATCCTTCTGTCTCTAGTTCATCCCCATGCCTGTGCTGTACGGAGTCTTCCTCTACATGGGGGCTTCCTCCCTCAGAGGCATTCAGGTGAGCTGGGAATACTGCATGCTGGTATTTTGTCAGAAGAAGTCATTGGGAAAAGAAGCAGGGTAATTTCTTGTTTGTATCTGTGCAGTTCTTTGACCGTCTGAGGCTGTTCAGCATGCCGGCCAAACATCAGCCGGACTTCATCTACCTTCGGCACGTCCCTCTGAGGAAGGTGCACCTCTTCACCATCGTCCAGCTCACCTGCTTGGTCCTGCTCTGGGTCATCAAGACCTCCAAGGCGGCCATCGTCTTCCCCATGATGGTAACAGCAGTGTGTTTGTGTATGCATGCAAGTTCCAATAAATTCATGTCAAAACACTCAATAACAAGCAAAAGTAAAGTATAATTACTGCAAAATTGTACTTAATCAGAATCAGAATACCTTTATTAGTCCCACAGAGGGGAAATGTACATAGTTACAGCAGGAAAAAGAGCCACAGACAGCTTAATGTTACATATGTTAAATATGTGACATGCATATTTTTTTTTTAAAGTACTAAGTTATGATATAATAAAAAAATATATATAATAAAAAGTTACATAATTTAAAAAAATACACATCCTGTAATAGTTCTTAGGATTTAGCAGCCAGGTATATATTACACAGTTATTAACGGCATCTATATATATTGCACATCTAGCACATATTGCACATAGGTGGTCATTGTCACTTTCCACTTTATGCATTTATAGTATACTTCTGTCTGATTGACACGTGTGTTTCTGTGGATCAGGTCTTGGCTCTGGTGTTTATCCGGAAGCTGCTGGATCTCATGTTCACCAAGAGAGAGCTGAGCTGGCTGGATGATCTGATGCCCGAGTGGAAGAAGAAGAAACTAGAGGATGCAGACGAAGAGGTGCAGTGATAGACTCAGCAGGGCTATTCAATTGGCGGCCCGCGGGCCAAATCCGGCCCCGGGGTGATATTTACTGGCCCTTTTAATAATGTTAAAAAGTAATCTACTTTTTTTTTTTGGGCCAGAGTACCTTTATTCCAGAGAGGGTGTTAAATTGAGAGATAGAGGGGAAGACAATGCCTGAAAACTTTGGCGGGCTCGGGTTTCGAACCCACGTACAAGCTACTGTAGTGACAACTCCTGTCATTTATTGCATCTCTGCGTGAATGATTATATAATTTCACCTAAATTAAATCAAATTAAATGATGTTGATGGTTAAATTAGCTTCACATGTAGGCCTACTGAGTTCTGAACTTGCCATTTAGATCTATAACGGCCTTGGGGCTATGTTGTTTGATTTAATTAAACACAATATATGCACTCCACTATGCTGTTGTAGTATTTACTGTATCCGAAGCTCTTAATATGATTGCTCATATTTCAAGCCATCTTTTTCCCGGCCCCTTGCTTTGGATAATTTCCATCAACCGGCCTCCATTCCAAACTAATTGAATAGCCCTAACCTACAGCATAGATGATCCAATGCCAATTCTGATGACTTAACCCTTCCACCACTGCAGTGGAAGGAGCTTCTATTCATGCAGGGTTCCCCTTTTCTTCTTGTGTTTTTTTCGTCAGGAGGAGCACAGTATTATTGCAGAGGAAGAAGGCATTGTACAAGTGCCAATGGAGGGACACCTCAAGTAAGTCATTTCATTGCATTTAACCCACTAATCACATGTCGTGAAAATGTTTTAAGACTTGGAGTAGGTTCTTATTTTGTTTAATAAGCATATTCTCTTTCTTTTTCTAATATCAGGAGATTGATACCACTTTTAGGCGGGAAAGAACAAAACAGCAGATAACCCCTGAATTGGGTTACCTTGTGCTAGATTCAGGCTAGCTGTTTCAAGTCAATATGCTAAGCTAGGCTAACAATCTTCTGGCTGTATCTGTATATTCATTGTACATATTGTATGTATGGTCCGGCAGTGGCTCAGTCAGTAGGGGCTTGGACTGTGAGCCGTAGGGTCGCCGGTTCAAGTCCCCGACCAAACCTAAATATGGAGTGTGGACTTCTACTTGGAGAGCTCCCAGTTCACCTCCTGCCCTGCCGTGCTGCCCTTGAGCAAGGCACCGGACATCCCCCTTCCCCCCTCACTCCATTGCTCCCCGGGCGCTGTACAATAGCTGCCCACTGTGGCTCCTGGTACTAGGATGGGTTAAAAGCAGAGAACACATTTCACTGTGTGCTCTGCATGTGTGACCATTAAAGAGGGTTTCATCCCTCCCAATTCTATTCTATAAGAGTCATTTCAATATTCTTTTCTTTGTCTCTGCAAGAAAGAAAGTACACATATTGTTTTAAAACCTTATAACTGGTGAACAGCTTCTGTTCTGCAGCTGTCACTTCATAAGCAAAGTTACTTATTATTTTTCCTTTTGCGTGTACTTTTTAAGGTGTGACCCTGCCACAGTGAACATCACTGATGAGATGTCTAAAGGATCTTTCGGAAATGTGTGGAAGAATGTCGACCCTAGTGAGACCACGAAGAAGGAGCCAAGCGCTAAAAGGTTAGCCTCCTTATCCATATAACGCTCACATCAACAGATATACACAAGTTTTTCAGATACATCACATAGACTTCCAGAGTATTTTGTCTATTCCAATGGAAACATGATGTCTTTGGGTGTCAAAGCATGAAGTGCCAGGTGTTTATTATTGAAGTGTTATGGAGCATTTACTAATTGTTTTTCCAGGAAAGTGAGCAGCTAGTATGTTTATGTAAAAAAGGTTTATCTCAGAGCAGCCCTGCCCTCACAGAGTAGACTAACATAGTGTCTCCTGCCTGCCTCTCTCATTCCAACCCCAAGCTCCCCTTCCTAACCTCTCAGCAGCTGATATCCCAAAGGTAAGCTGTTCCCTCTTCCCGTCGGCATGCAGAGTCCTGTGTGTTTCCTGCGAATGACTGTTGCATGTTGATTGCTCTGTGCTGCAAGTGATTAATAGATAAATCATTAATACATAGATATTGATTGATTGATAATCACAACATGAACTGGATGTGCATGTTACTTCAAGGACATTTAGTATGATTGTACATTTGGTTTATCATTCAAGTATTAAAGGAATACTTCAACCACATAGTAAACATTTGTTCATCAATTATTTCCCCAGTGGTAAAGACACATGTTTGCATGACTCTATGATAAACTAAATACATGATTGATGAATTGAAGTAAACAGGGGCTACACTTAGCACTATTAGTCTTTTTTCTTAAATTAGATTTGAGTGAAAGTAGTGAGAGTACATCTGCATAAATAGGACATACATTATACTGCACAGGTTTTGTGATGGATGTATATAAATGTAGCTCCCATTTACTTCAATCTACCCAGGGTTTCCATTTAAAGGGATGCTAGAAAAATAAGTATTCTTTGAAAATTCAAGGTAACGCTGGGTGATAAATGTATATGAAAATTAGTGAGTTATTTTCTTTGATCTTATTGAGCTTTTCGCATGCTGTGTGATCATGATTGATTGATTAATTGCATCTGTAGTCTGCACTTAGGTCTAAAATGTCAGAAAATCCAGTCTCGTACAATAAAATAACACCAACATATGTGAATGTTCCACATTTAACATTTCTGCTTTTTTCCCGTGCAGTTCTAGCGGCGAAAAGCGACACAAACGCCGGAGGCATGATAAGAGCTTGGACAGGGAGACAAGTTTGTGATGACACCTACTTTCTGGCGGTGCCACTGTACTGTCAATCAGTAGATCAAAAAACAAAAAAAGCTGTACCGTGCCACACTCAACCACCTTTGTACTGTGCTACACTGTGTTTTTGTCATGTAAGTCTCTGTGCAAGTTGTGTAAAACAAAGAATTTGTTAGAAACAGTATTAGCACGGGAAGGAATCAGTACACATTTGTGTTATTTTTCAATGTATATCAATGTTTGGTGATACCAGCAGCCAGAATGATACCACACTTACAAAAGCTGCTGTGTCAATGGGCCAATTAAATAACAATTTTAAACAATTTTTAAATCTACTTTATTTGTATTTTGTATGTTTTTATATTTTTCCAACAGTAGTTGTACGTTTTCCTAAACCTGCCACAGCCGACTGCAGATGTGTGGATTGTGTGTGCAGTATTTAATGCCACTATTGACTTGATGCACCTCGAAAAGTAGACATTTGCCATTACTAATCTATTTCACTGGTATCTAGGAGTTGGTTATATAACAAAACTAGTAATTTTTTTGAAAGTATTAAATATACATTTTCTATATTCTGTATATCTTAATGTTTTTGTGACAGTAACAGCTCATATCACTTCAGAGTTTTCTCCCTTTCTATTTTACAAATAAATGTCTCTCGTCCAGTAAAGCATTCCCCCGCACGAGTTAAAGGAACAGTCTTTCTGGTTATTACTCTCATTCGTTTTCTGTTAGATGACAAGATCGATACCCCTCTCATGCCTGCACACTAAACATAAAGCTAGAGCTAGCAGCCTGCTAGCTCAAGACTTAAAACACGTAAACAGCTAGGCTGGCTCTGACCAAATGTAACAAAAATAGCCAAAATGTCTCTGATTAATAACTTTAAATGTTGTTTGTATTATCTGTGCAAAAACCAAAATGTAAAAAGGTATTTCTTTTGTTGCTGCTATTTTTTGGCAGGTAGCATGCGACAGCTTAATTTTTAGCAAACAGACACGAGAGTGGTATTGGTCTATCTCTATACAAGAAAAGTGAATAAGCATATTGACCGAGCAAAGCTCTTCCTTTAATGACAGTATTCATTTACTGGCACACATTTCCATGCTAGCATCTGAGCATAGTGCTGGAACGTTCAGTACCTGCAGCTACTCGCCTTGGCTTTCAATCCCTTTTTCATCCATTTTGCAAATACTGAACTAGAGTCACACTATTTTAAGCTCTATGTTCTCCACCTGCATACTCTTTGTCATCTTGTCAGTAAGTGTCATCCATGGACATGTGATCTCCTATCTAAACGACCCTCAATATTTTAGCATCTGAAGCTAATTGTTTTAAGCAAAACACCTGCATGCTGTTGAATCAGACATGAATGTCTTGCTGCAGACCGTGGTTACTTCTAGAGATGCAATAATACCTTTTTTCTGGGAAGGGCAACATGTAATAAATGGTAAAGAGTCTTAACAATGTATAAAACATAGTATATTTTATTCATGTAAAATGTTATTAATATATTACTAACATGAAGTCAGTGTTGAAGGCAGGTTTTGTTGTAGATGTTCTTTTCCCATTGTCTAATTGATGGTTCTTAGTTGTTTAGAGAAACTAATAAGGGGTCAGAATTATATCAATATCAAATATTTTGACCACTTCTGTGTGGAAATCTGCCTTAAATTTGGTAGTGATACATGTAAAAGGTTTGAAATGAAATGAAATGTACACTTTCTGTTTAAATAATTTAAGACACCTGTAAAGAAACTATCAGTTCAGATTTGTTGTTAAATTGTGCTTTGTTTATTGAGAATGGGAGCGAGAGCATAAATAAAGATCTAAAATGATGAATGATGTGGTTCTTTATTGATCCCTATATGTTTGCTATTGTCAACAGGTAGGTCAAAGATCAATGTACTTCTTTGTATAAGTAATTGTTCAGTTATTCCATACAAGGACTTTGACCTCAGGAGCTTCATGTCTTTTGCAGAGCTACAGGACAGAGTGTCTCTGAGCCCAGAAAGACTGCTTTTCCAGTTTAAAATGAGTGTAGAAATTGTGGACATAATCCGTGAGACTGTTGGATTTCCTGCAGGTCTGAATTCTGTTATAGATTTCCCTGATGCCTGATCCTTTGAGATGTAACAAAAACTGGATTGCATGAAGTGACTGCGAAGAGAAGATAAGGCGTGAGTACATTTACTCTTTTTACTTTGAACTCATCATGCTATGTTGTCTTTGTCCAAGGCTAAACCCATCAGCTAATCATTTACAATAACTTCCACAGACACACAATGAAAAACTTTATTTTGCAGAGCGGATACAATCATATGCAATGAAAACCATCTACACTACATGTGTTTCCTATCTACCTGAGATTTCACTTTTTGTGTTCTTGTTTTCACCTTAAAAATATAGAAAATCATTTAAATTTGTACAAAAAATATGCCCCTCAATTTCATTTCTTCTCTGGTGCACCATATGAATGTGGAAGATTTTTTTGTCTCTGCATCACATACAGTAAGTAAAAAAAGACGTACAAATTGAAATGGCATAACAACATGCAAAGCAGTATGGCTTTTTATTCCTTCGGTATATGGCTTAGAATGCAGCATCAAAGGGAGTCCTTGAAGAGAGTCTCATTGGTCCTCTCGTCTTTTCTTACTGCAAAAGAAAGAAAATCACAATCATGCCGAGCCAAGTATTCTGTAAATGATCACAGCCATGTGACTGAGTTTTACCTCTCCCCTGAAGGTTTGGAGGTCATGACCCAGAGTAAATATTCCTTTGCAGCCAAGGAGTCCAGCACCTTGTTCACGTCACTGGTGAAGCTTCCATCAACATGCCTCCTGCTGAGCGCCTCCCCCCGCCTGTCCATTTGAGATCTGAGTATGTACACAATGTAAACACTGCCCATTAAGGGTCAGTAGCCCACAATGTGGCCAACCTGCCATTTTAACTCTGATATTAGGCCTGCAGTGCAGTATTCATCAGAAAATCATCATTTTTATTGTAGTTATTTTCTGATTGGTGATTACCGGGTGTTTCTTTGATGATTCCATGATTTGTTCATAGGCCGCTTGCATGTTTTTGTCAAAAATAATCATTCCACTCAATCGTCACACAATAGTAAGATATCAATCAACGCAGTGCAAAAAGTTCAGGTGATTTATTTCAACACAACCACAAGGGACATCAAGAAAAAGCATAGAAAGGAAAAAAGATGGAGAAGCAGGTGATTATATCTCTCTGACTGTCTCTCTCGTCATGGTGGAATCAGACACAGGCAGGCCGATAGGGGTTTGGGTACTGAAGAAGGAGGAGAGGGAGGGAGGAGGGAGGGGGGGCGGGCAGCCTACGCTCTTCTGACTTGTCCAGCCTTGAGCCTGGCAACAAAGTCTTTGATTAGCTGGTCCTTGAGGTACGAGCTCACGTCGCTGGTGAAGGTCCCATCAGCGTGGCGCTTTTCTTCAGCACTGAAAACACAGTGAGGGAAAATGTTCAGATTGTTTTAGAGTTTAATGTATCATAAGTCTGAAATATACACTTTATTCACTAACACATCCCTGTTAACCAGTGGTAGAAATTGACCAAGGAAATGTAATCAAGTACTATATCTAACGCTTAATATGTTATGCTACTTTTATGTATACTCTTCTATCCTTCAGAGCGATATATTCTACTTTTTACCCCACTACATTTATCTGACAGACATAGTTGCTTTGCCTTTACCTTTTTTTCTATGGGCTTTTCTTTTGACTTATATACCATATGTTAAAAAAGCAAAGAGAAAGAAAATAATGTCCCAAAAACAACCTTCAGATATATATTTTAACCCTTTAAAGGGGCACAAACCCTAGGTTGAGATCCCTAGGTTAAGTATATATAGCTGATAATACTTCTGTACATTTTTGAATGCAGGATTTTTACTCCACCACTGCCCCTTTAACAGTGATTGTAGCATATTGCACATTGAATATAACCATTGATTATATGTTAAATATTATAGGGCTAGACAAGTCAAAGCATTTCACAATTGATATTCTTAAGATCCCATACTGACCCGCTCCTCTTGTTGTTCATCAGCCACCGGACAAAGTCCTGAGCCTTCCGGTCCTCCAGGTATTTGCTGTAGTCGTTTGAGAAGGTTCCCTCCGAATGTCTCTTCATGTTGGACAGCTCCCGCGGCTCATCCACTGATGTGTTGTCTGCCTCAAAGCTACAAGAGGAAACCACTGTGAGTTTACACAGATGAACCCTTCACATTACCAAAATCCATTGGTTAGGTTTGCGTAGAATTTTCTGAAACACTTCAAATAATGCAAACAAATCAGATGTAGTATATTTATTATTAATCTTCAAACATATGCCCGGATGTAAAACAGTGTACATTTAGCACTTTAAATTAAATCTCCCATTTTCGCTATTATTTCTTATATCTTAATTAACATTTTCTGTATTTATAAATAGGGTAATCCACATTTTCAGCATTATAATTCCCAAACAGAAAGGGCCTTTAAGCCTTTTATCCAATTTGATGGGATATTTTTGAGACATTTCTCAGTTTTAGTATTGTCTCATGTCACCTAAATCGTGCTGACTATCCTATGAAAGTTGCTTTTTGGAATTGAACTTAAAATGACCCACATATACCACAATTTAAAACGTATTTTTCGTGAAGGATAAAACCAATGGTCCATAGATAAAAGACAAAACAGTATTTTCTGTACCTTGAGCTGTCACCCGCCTCCTGCAGAGGAACCTGCCAGCTGCTCTGAACAAACCCCACAACCAGAAGGATACCAGCTAGGAAGCTTCTCATGGTTCTAACCTACAGCGCAGCACACGCACACATACAAGAAAAAAGTTTGCATATTGGATCAAAAAGCTCAAGCTAATGTGGTTTCCTAATTGCAATCAACACAACTCACCTTTTCTTCTTCTTTCCTTCACAAGAACGGTGCCGTTAGTTCCTCTGCTTGTCTGACTCTAACCCTCCTCTCTTACATTCTGTTCTTATATACTGTAATAGAAGGAGGATGATTTGTCTGCTCAGGTGGGATAGTTTAACCACTCTGGCAGGTCAACCTGTTACTCTCAACCCATTAGACACGGGCCCCGTCACATCGGCCGAATCAACAAGCCGAGCATTTGTCCCGAAAGGAAAGGTGCTATCCATGCGTGATGCCAGCTGGTACTTAGGTGTTAAGATCAAACAACAGCAGCTCATCCTGTTAAACAGAACGAAGGGAAGATGCTTTAATGTGCTACTGTGTCATCATGATGGGAAGTGATATGTGTGCTGTCATATCTGGAAGATGAGTCACTATTAGTGGTTTCTGTCTGATCAGATTTAAAAGATGGGTGATATTGACCGTTTATACTTATCAGTGGCAGTTATCTCCATTTTTACAAGGGCCATTGTTCAATAGAGATTGATGGTTTATGACAATAAATGGTCATCTATTGCTATATGGCTCTTAGTGTCACACGTTTGTTAAAGGGGCCCTATTATGCTTTTTGGTGTTCTCCCTTCCTGTAGTGTGTAAATGGTCTGCAAAGGTTGAAATCCCTGTGATCCCTCCAGAGGAAGTTTCTCTCCTACACACTCCCCCCCCCCCCCCCTTCTTTAAACGCCCCCATTGGACTCCTTTACTTGCATCCGCGACATAGTGACATCACTACGTAACACTCGTGCTTCTATTGACTAGCGCTCACTGTATGTGAGGAGTGGGACTTATCACAACAGAGCCGGCCAGCTAACCAATCAGAGTTGAGTCAAGTAGGATTTCATCGATGATGACGCAAATCAATATTGGACAACACAATTTAGTTGTATGTAAATAAATATACATTTGTAATCACTTACATCGCTAACATACTTATAATACTGATGTAAGGTATAATGCTAATTGCTGCTAATTTGCTGCTTAAGCAATGATATAATGGGCATATAGCTCATAACTAAGCCTTACTGAACCACTAGCATAGCTGTTGACTGTTGTTACGCAGTAATCCCGTTTAACAGAATAAAGAACAAACAAAACGTTTTTTTATTCAAAATTAATTTACATCAAACAGACAACCATCTCATTAAAAAAGAAACTCACCCAAGTAAAACAAGTACACTTCAGGATCAATTTACATTTAATTTAGAAAAAAACTTTGAAAAATAAATCACATTTTTCATTTAGTTTCAAGTAATAATGTTTTTTTCTGACTGATTTCAGCACAACACCGACACAGAATGACAATATGACTTCAACCCATTTTGTACTTTCCTGGCATTAATAACGAAATGTGCCTTTCAAATTAAATGAAGTATCCCTTTTTATTCACATGAGGCGGACTTCAAGCAAAGCACCTCTTTAGGAAGTGGCTCATGTGGGTGTAGACGTGTTTATTGGCTGCGCCTCTAAGCCCATGATCCTTGTCTGTGTACCACTGAAAGACAAGGGAACAAATGTTATTATTTTAGGTGATGTTGGGTTCAGAATTCTTCTAAGTTTAACTATTTATTGTAAAGAGAGCAAAAGATATATATCACTTGGCCAAGGACTCCGTCACGTCATAGCAATCACAGACAGCAAAGCTGTAATCTGTCAGCACCAAATCCCTAAAGAGCCTCGAACCTCGTGCGACAATACATTTTATTACACAGGGCGTTGCCCGTACATTTATGATTGGTCAAGACTAGATGAAGAGATACCGCGGGTTAGACTTGGTTCTCTTTGGTTGGTGCGCAGACTCGGATAGAGTCTCTTGGCAACACGACCTTCCAATCAGCATTCGGCCGGCCTGTGGAAGTCCCTCCCTACTCTGACACCATCATACTAATTTGTTTTCTCTAACGTTTCTTCAGATATAGTGGGAAACCATAATGTTGCTTCCTAGCTTTACGTGGGAGTGCGGCTCCCATACAAAGTGAAGGCCGGTGCGATGTTCTGTTCTGACTACCTCTTTGTATTCTCTGTCTCTGCACCTGACCGTGCTACTTTCAATATTGCAAGCTAAACACTTTCTCATGTGACTTTTCCCTTCGTTCCTATCCTCCCCAACAAAACTTGGGGGGAGTCTATTTATTCCAAAGTCACAGCCACATAAATGAGCACAATAAGCTTATAATGTAATAATAAGAATCAGTCTTTCTAATGTTATATAAAAATAGCCTCCACAGTCACAGTCTCCTGTTCCTTCTATATTAATTTTCCAAATGACTCACCATCGCCTCAAAGTCAACCTGCGCCTCCACCAGAGCTTCAGAGATCTCAGCTGCCTGCTGGAAATGAACGTTATCTAAAAAACACGACAGAAAATGTATTAACACAATGCAAATTGCCCATTTGGATCCAGAAAGGTCAGGGGGTCACCACGGATTTTTTTTTCTTAACTTCATGGCTGAAAGAGTTGGATCTGATGGAGGTGTGAGACCAAAGGTCAATATGTCAAAATAAATGCTTGTGGCCATTCATAACTCACCATCAGCTGTTCCATGAACCAGTAGATACTGCACTGCATGGAAATTCTTGGCCCTTTCAGTTACTGTCGAGTTCTGCACACAATCATATTTGTATTTTATGATGACAGACAATAGCATAATTAATAATGATAAAATGTAAGACTGTCAAACGTACAGTGTAGGCCAAAGAGTTCTGTGAAGGCTCCATCATGTAACGCTCGGTGTAGATGGAATCTGGAAGAAACATATATTAATAGAGTGTGTCAGGATTGGGATGGTTGTTAACATGAAGAAATTACTTTAAAAGACTAAAAATACCATAATATTCCCATTTGGACACTGGAGCGACCGCCATTCCACATTTGAAAACTCCACTTCCAGATCCCAATACCATTGACGTCACATATCCACCATAAGACTGAGAGACACAAACAGCTCATTACTGTAGCCTTAAGTAAAGAAGACGTACCGACAGTAGGGTGAAACATTAACTCCATTTCTGACACATGTATTGCCCTATGAAGCATGAAAACACATTTATGCTTAAGGAACAAAACTTGTTTGATTTTGAAATACTTTTTATTTGAATGCACTTTTAAGTGTTTTCATACTATTCTTAAAACTTACCCAGCCCCAAATAGCAACTCTGTCTTTGTCAATGTAGCCCTTTTCGATAAATTTCCTATAATAAACAAAAAGAATGTTGTAAATAGAGGAACTTATGATCAGCATCTTCACTTGGTGCTGATCAAGATATTTCCTGTGTGTGTCACTTCTCCAGAACACAAACAAGTCAGTTCCAGTTTTATCAAGCTTTCCTGGGAAACGGGTGAAGCTGTTTGTTTGAGCGGGAAATGCATTGACTCGTCCAAACTCGCTTTCCTCACCTGGCTGCTGTTATCTGATCTTCCACCTCATAAGTTCCCAGACCTTTGTAGATTGCGTGCATTATCTCGTCGCCTTGGTAACCGCTTCCTCTTCCATCAAAGCTTGCGACGATGATTTTCTCTGTGCTCGCCAAGTAGGTGTCCCAGCCCACCCCGTAGGAAAAGTCTGCTTTCTGACTGCAGGGACCAGCATACCTGAGTGGGAACAATTAGTTTGTAATCTCTTCTACAATTGAATATTATTATAGTTTGTTAATATTTATAAATTATCTTACACATCTATCAGTAAAGGGTACTTCTTGGATTTGTCAAAGCCTGGAGGCAACAACATCTGGTACCAGAGTTCTGTAAAAAATATGTAAATCCATAGTAAATAATCATCTGTGTATTTTATAGCAAACACTGGATATCATCGTTGTAGGATTCTCTTACTGTGTCCTGCAACGTTGAGGAAGCCTCGACTCATGGTGGGCATTTGGATGTCAGATATCAGGCTGCTAAATGCTTTATTGTCCTGCAAAACTTTTATCTCTACAAATGCAAAAACATAGAAAGTTAATTAAATAACATTTATCCTCGTTGATATTATTTCAGATTGCATTCAAATGTTGTGGATTACCTTTATTATTCCTGTTATCCATGAGAGCATGGAAAGGAATGCCAGGACCTTTGAGTAAAATGACATTCAATTATTAGCAAAACATATAGCTAATAAGTTACTATATAATAATGACATTACATATATGCAGAGAAACAAAGTATAACTGACCACTGCAGCGCATACGGTAGAAGGAGGCATTATGGCTGAAGTAGGCGGAATTATACTGACAGTTATCTCCACGTATCGCACATGTTAGACAAGTGTGCGTTTCTTTGGTCCACCTGACACAAACACACAGTGTGAATAACTGCTTTGTAATAAAGATTGTATCATTAAAAACGAGTAAAATAGTAAAACATTTCAATTAAATCCCCTTACTTGTAAACATTCCTTCCTCCTGGCTGCCCGGCCTCTTGGTTACTTGAGTAATATCTGTGGAATAATTGGTATGCATGAGTGGGGAGGAAATCCTAAACTGTGGCAAAGGAGAAATCCAGCTAATTGGACATGACAATTATCTCTTAAACTCACTCATAACTTCCCAACATTCCCACACACACCAGAAATGTTAGACTACATTTGGGAAAGTGCATAAAACAATGCATTACAGACATATTTCCATTGGCTGGAATGGTGCAGTTGTATAGGATACTGTACAATCAGAATGGATATAAGCATTATGCTTCTACACAAGAGAACTTGTATGCAGCTGTGTGCAGATGATGCAACGACTTACACACTGTCTTCAGTTACTTTCAGAATGTCAACAGCTTCCCATTTTCCAGAGGTTATAGGTGTAGCTGTGCCCTGCACGATGAGTCACAACACAATGTGTTACTTAACATTTAGACAATGTGTGCAAGTCTCAAAAAAAGAGCTGGTTTTGCTGGACTGAAACTGGCCAAATGACTTTGTAATTTTACCTACCCCGACCACATGATGGATGTGCTTGTACTTGTTGGTGTCGCTCATCAACAGGTAGTAGCTTTTTTTGTCTGCAGAAAAAACTGGTTCTGGTGGAGAGAACTAAGAAAAAACATTATTTTACTATATA